TGCCGCGCGCAACACGTGCCCGGCGCGCGCCCGGCAGACGTGCCATATAGAGATGAATCATACGTGCTTTTATGGATTAAAGATTCTTTTTTTAAACATAAGCATAGATACAAAAAGCCTTGTTTAAGAAAAAGTAATTACATGTAGGTTTTGTGTGTATGTAAATGTGTAACTACGCGAGCTTTTTGAGTAAGGTATGTACTTCAAATTATTTTATTATTAATGCAGAAAAAATATGTTTGAGACGTATAATTTAAAAAAATTTAATTTTTAATACTAAAATATGTTGAAAGGAAGCTTAAAAAATTATATAATGTAACAAAAAGAACAGGTTCCACCGAGATTTGAACTCGGATCGCTGGATTCAGAGTCCAGAGTGCTAACCATTACACCATGGAACCGTTGATAACGGGGCCGAAATAGCAGTTGTGTATCAAAATGGCTTTTTGAAAATAAAAAGTAGTGTTGTACATAGTAATTTTAAATCACTATTATAAAATGTAAATTTTATATAATATTTTGGTAATACTAAATTTGATTTCTCTTTAAATTTAAAATAAAACATAACCCTTAATTCTTTTTTCTTTAAATTAGGTACACCATAAAATTACTAAAATAGATTTTTTTTCGATATCTACCGACTGAGCAAGTATTTATAGTGTCTCCACTTACCTAGTTACCTAACACAATACTTAGAAATTAATCCAATTTAAAACCCCAAATAAAAACTTGGAATTAAATAACGTATGATGGATAACGTCATCATTGAATTATGGCAATCAAATCGATTACAATCGATCAACGAATTTGACAGTCACTCAAATAGGAAGAGTTAAACATTATATTGCAAAATTATAATTTCATTTCAACACCCTCGTGACGAGAACATCAAATCGAAAATTGATGACGAAATCCGATTATCAAGTTTGCGAAACGATTCAACCTGTTGAATCGGAAAGAAATACGTTCCTTTTTATTCAAATGTTTTATTTTCTGTCAGAGTCAATAAAAAGGCTATAAATAAAGCTAATGTTTATCACTATTATTGACATTTGTGCTCCTGTCCGCACGCCACATAGACCATATGAATTATGCGCACAAACACTTGTAACTTGTATAAGCTTTATTATTATAATAATACATTATTATTCATCTCGTATTGACATATCTGTGTGGACGACCGGTCTTTTATAGGGCAACCGAATGCACTTGATATTATTTGTAGAATAACCGTCTCACTTCCACGGTTTAGAGCTGTAGTTAGGTGTAGCAGATTTCTTAAATAAACTGCATATTTCATTACCTAGTAACTAAATTCAAAAATATTTTTTTTGCTATTCATACAACCATATAAACTACCTAAAATACTATGTTAAAAAGTAACAATAAATGGTGTCTCAGCCATTACAAAAATAGGTCAGCAAGTCAGTATGTATCGTTAATTCGTTGCCCAGATAATCTAATCCCACAACCAAAACTAGTGGCTCGGTAACAATGTAGCAATCATTATTATTTAATAAAGTAAATTGCATCAAACGTTCCCCTGTCATCTGATACACTGTTCTACCGGGGACTGACCATACCGTTTTATTGCTTAACAATTAGCTACCGGGATGGGGCGCAATCTATTGTCATATGAACACCCTTATTCCCATACACATAAAGTTTAATTTAAATGTATAGCTGGCCTACATTTCAATAAAAGCCAACAAAAGAATTGACCACACACTGACCTTCCACTTAAACAAGTGGTCAGAGAAAATAGCGAGGATTATAGTTAAGAGATATGTAACAACCGCAGTGGTTTAAATGTTTGCGTAACTCAGTACACTTGTACAAATTTAATTAAACACAGCCACTGGTCAGCCTTAAACAAATATTAATCAAAAAGTATTCAGCACTTGTTATTCTAACATGAAATTGTGTTTTGTTTGACTTTCATGAACAGCTCGTGGCTCTTGAATCTACTGCTGGACTGCGTTTTTTATAATCTTCACGTTTCGCAGATGGGTTGCAGAACTTGGATATCAATTCTAAAGGCAGAAAGCACTGGTACTCAGTATCTGTTGAACTTTCAATGTAGGTACCCAAACTTACCCAAACGGCAACAGAAAAGAAATTATGAAGAACCTACTCACATAACAATAACTTCTGTTAATAGCAAAGTCTGTTACAATAAATATCAAACAATAATAATCATAACTGTAATCGTAAATATACCAGTTGGTAACCAAATAGTAAATCAGAAACGCCATAAACTATGCAAAGGAGGAATCAACGAAATTTATAACAGGCAACAAGTCATAAATTTATAATCACATTAAATTGAAATAGAATCGGTTTAATCGAATCGGACAACTATTCGATGAATGGAAACTAATGATTGAGCGTGCGTCGTGTATTATGAAACACCCCATCACTAAATTCGACGTTCTAATTTTAAATTAAGAATTTAGAATGGTGGCTCTTTTAATCTTTCTCGTTTATTAAGTTCTCTTCGTTTTGATTTTGGTCTTTCATCAGCATTTTCATTTTATTCATTGTAAATGCATATGTTACATTACATAGTTACGCATAAAATACCTTGGTACGAATAAACATGCACATTTGCAAATAAAAAAGTGGATATTACCTACCTATATTCGTATGTATGTATAATTTATTCATTAATATTCATTTGTCGCCTAAACAATTAGCTAATGGAGCATTATTATAAGTTACCCCATTCAAATAAAATGCGAGTCCATCATGGGTCCATCATACGATTGTTGACAGCCGTTGAAATGGTTACAAATATTTTTAATTGCTTTTTACATTCGCATTTGACGAGTGCTGACATCTGTGACCAATTGAAATTAATTTTTAATTTTAGTCACACTCCAACCATCAATAAGATTTTATTTTAAGACTTTTTATTATTCTCGAAATTGCATTATTATTGTGACTTTAGCGAAATATTAAATCCTAAATATGTAAATAAAACTGTCAACTCCTTTATATGTTCTGTGAAAGCATTAGATAAACCTATCTACTACCTGCAGCATGTATAAAAACTAGAAATAAATTGAAAGTTTAGTAAAATAAACATAAAAATAAACTATAGTTAGATACTTCACAGTTAAACAAGTAAATTAGTTTTTAAAGAATTTAGTTTACAGAAAAATCTGTTACCATTTTAGTTTCAAACAATTTAATGAATCTGTCTTTAGAGCCATCTATCTTGAATAATAAAAAAGAATGTTCTAAGAATAATAAAGACATGTTCTATAGAGATGGCGCTATAAGTTGGGAAACGAAAATTGGAAAACTATGATGATTATTTTATGCCATTTTATTATACGTTAAGTTTATTGTAATTAAAATAATTTGGTTTTGAATATTTATTAAAAATTAATTAGCAAAAGTCCTTGTATGAGAATTAGTGTATGACCATAATCATTGATTTAATTTGGCAACCAAGGGTTAACTTGACACTTTGTCAGATTGTCACTGCTGTCAATGCTTCATTCATTGTTGTCATTCCATTGATAAAAAATTGATCGGGTAGCAGCAGGCGACAAAAGTGAGCGCGAGTGCGGACAACTTAAACTGAATTATTGATTTTCGTTAAAATATAACGTGTTACAAGAATCAACGCGGTGAAAGTGTTTGTGTAATTTCGTGTCTCGATGTCAACACAGTCTAAAACAATGCCGATGTTAGACTTAAAAATGTATGTGAGAGTTGTCGCTGCCGTGTTTTCTGTGAGTAAATATTGTTTATATTTATTTTAAAAACTCTTACATATTCTGTAACGTAACAACTTTTTATTTATACATCTAGAAACCATATTAACTAGCTTGAAATTATAATAAAAATAACTATTTTGTACCCTCAAGTTTAAACGTAATAAAATCGTGCCGCAGTACGTTTAAATATTTTTTTAACGTAGTTAGTAAATTAATGCTTTGTTACACATTATTATCTACAAAACATAATGATGAACAAACACACAATATTGTGTTGTTCTATCTAAATGACTGTTAATGTTTGTTTATAATCTTTGTAAATACAGACTTGTAATGATACAGAAGTTATCTATGTCTGACAAGGTTTAATTTGACTGTTATTAAATTAAACCCACTGTTAACATAACAATTATTACTAAGACAATTTATTTAACTACTGATAAAAGCTTAAATAAGATGATGTTAAATCTAATTTATAAATGTATTTCTTTTTTTTTAGACTGAATATGCCTATGTTTTATTTAATAGTAAGTGACTAAAAAAAACAAGAATTTAATAGAGAAAATATAATATGCTTACAAATAATATTTACTTCACTAAATGGCATATCAATGGACAAACATGTTTTTTTTTATATTTATGTTCAAAGGTTTTTCGAAGTAATCCAAATAAATAAAGTGATTTGCAGAGTGTTTCAGGTCAAGGAACTGAGACATAGAGAGAGTTGATGCAGTTTGCTTAAAATAGCAAAGCCAAACCAGAAAACTAAAAAATATACTATAATGCACCATTTAAGCTTATTATGATACACTATATAACTGGTGTTATAGACATCAATTCTAATTTCAAACTGGCCCACTTTTCTCTATGATTAATCAATTTTTTTTTCAGATATCATCGGCCACAGCATTTGTGCTAGCACTAATGCGCCTCCTCAACCCAGACCTATTTTACCTAGATCCTTTAGAAGGAAATGATATAGGTAATGCACTAGGTATACTATAACTCCTATCTTTAGATTGCTCTTGTAACATTATCATGGATATTGCTGCTAATCAATAATAAAGGTTGAATTACGAGTTTAAACTGTCTATGTTGTGTCTACTACTGAACTAGAGCTATTGTTTAATAAACTAGTCTAGCCTAGTAACGCCATCGTATCTTTATTTAGTCAAAATAAAACGTAAATGAAGTCTCATACCTATTCGAATGGTATACAAAAAATAGTTCTTTAACAACAATCAGGTGCTTCCAATTTTCATCTTTATTGTCATGCCTAAAAAACCTTTAAAAACATTTATTGCAATAGCTGTTTCTTTTGCAGGTGTCCACTACTTCATATCAGGTCTAATGATAGTGACGAGTGGCATAGGTTTCCTGAACAGCTGCGTGACGATGAACCGCAGTTCCAGTAAGAATACAGGTCGGAATATCACCACCTGGTTATTACTGGATTCCTTGTTTGAAACCACGCGGGTTGTGTACGTGTTCGTCTGCGAAATTATGCTGAAAGGGAAGGGTCCAATGCAGTTGTATGAGTTGCTGATCAGCGCTGCGCAATACTGTAAGTTTCCGTTCCTTTGTTGCCCCCCTGTATCTTGTGTCATATGCTTCCATCCGGGAATCAGTGTCGTTCGTGACGTAACACTCAATTGCCCAGTTAGCGCGCTATTCGACCCCTCTAATAACCCTGTCATTGTTATTCATTTTGCCGAGTTAGTTAGGTACATAGGACTTGCTGTCTGCGTCCATACTCTTTTGTACACTACCCAGCGATAATAATTAGGTACACATCGACCATTGCACATTGTACAGTGACTCCTATAATCATCAAAATAATAAAAACCAATAAAAATATTTAGAAATAACATCTCTTGACGCTTTCCAAAAGTCGATCTGCAATATTTACCGCCGGGTACTGTAATAGGTTCAAAAGTTAGCTACGACCTCGCGTTTACGGAAGCTATCATAGCTATTTGGCAAGACGACGAGAGGATGTGGCCAATCGTACATTGAAAATGAATTTATGTAACACATCAATAATATTTGGCATCCTTGATACGTCTTGTTTTTCCCAACATAATGGCGGTCTTCCTGCGACTGCGATGCCGCTCATGATCGTGTCCTTTTCTTCTCGACTTGAGAAATAACAATATGTATAATTTAACATCGAATTTAAGGACATCGAACGAAGTCTTAGAAAATTATTTGTAATCATATTGTAGCTCATTAAGAGACTAGCAAATTACATAAGCACCTTAAGTAAGCACTTAGGTAGGTACCTACACGATCGAAAACGGAGGAATGTCTACTGGTTATTGTTGTGTTTTTGCTCTATGTTTCGAACAAACTACCTTGGCACAGTGCTAAAATGATATGACAAAGCATGTACTTGAACGCGATGATTTTACAATAGCTAATTTGTCCGGCTGCAGTTTACACACCAAACAACAAATGAAAAAAAACATGCTGTACTGTAATTATGTAAGAAAAATATGCCAATTGTTAGTAAGACCTAGCGACAACAGTAACTCCAAAATAACATCTGACCCTGATATAAATTCACATCGAATAACTCAATATTGAATAAAATATTGTTATAGGTACTGCAAAATAATTCACCAAGTTTAGTCGGGTACCTTCGCAATATTTACATACTAAGCACCCTATAGAACTACCGAGGGGTCGTGTTGTATGCCACAAAAGATTACACGCCGTGAAAGGTCACACCATTCGTTTAGTAGGTCAAGGTTTATTGAGCTACACACCTCTGTTGCCTGAAAACATTACGATATCACTCACAACTATCACTACTCATATCACTCTTCGATTTATTAATGCTTCCCTTTTATTTTCAGTATTGGACAGCTTTCTCTACTGTCAGATGATACTGCGACACTAGTATAAGGAGATTATCCCTAATTTAGGTGATACTATAGTTGTCATCCATAGGATGCGCTCTTCCGCCCCAGAGGCTGATAAAATAATGCATTTGTTTTACAAGAATTGTATGATGATCTTGTAAAAGGTTGAACGCATAGGAGAAGTTGACTTCTCTTTGATAAGTGATCGTTTTTGTTTGTTTATTTTGATTGTAAAGCATTGCTTGGGTGTAAAATTGCCTGGTATCCAAGATCCAATAAGGTGTTATAGTTTCAAAGGCCCGCTATGTAGTGTCTGTAAGAACTGCACTACGTGTTTGCACATCCAGGCAATGCTGACTCAAAGGACCTTGTCCACATGTATTGTAAAATATAAGATCATTCCATTGTAGCTGTGATTATCGAATATTACGAATTAAATTGGTAAGAATCATCTGATTATTATATTAGGTTGAGCCTTAATTTAGGCAAATGAAAAGAATGTTTGCTTTGAAATCCCTAAACTAAACTGTAATTATTTGATTTGATCTCATCGTCCCTTCTCGCCGTACAAAATTAAAGGGTTTTGTATCAGAGACAATAAATAAAATTGTTAATGTAATGTAAGCTTTACCTGAACATTCTATACTGTATCTTGCCTTGTCTATGTACATTCTTCTAGATAAAGTCTAGCCCTAAGTAGAACGAACTAGTATTATCTCGATTTAAGAATTAGATATACCAAACTACATAATTGAAATGGTCAGACGCGGATTAAATAACAGAACTACCATTTTCTATGAAATATGAACTACGAAACCTCCTTACATCTAATTATATTATCATTATCGTAGTTTCTTACATAGTGTCCTGTGCCAGGGAGTCAACCTATACCAAACTGAAATTTTAACATTGGATATTCTACTTTGTATTAAAACAATAAAGCTGAAAATCGAATGAAAAAACTTTACAGAAAGCAGTAAGTGGACCTACTACTACCACAAATATGTAATTGTATAAGTTTAAAAAAAACGGAATACTGTAGTATTACAATGCAATAGAATAGGGTTCGTGTCTGACCAGTATCTTCTTCCCACCGATATGTTTACATGTTTGTTCCTCTCATAACACTAAATATCTCACGTACGAGTATTATTTTTAACTGAAAAAGTATTTATAAGTTTACGAATCTTCTTTAACTGTGATTTTCGGTTGTTATATTAAGTTTCGGTTTGTTATGGAAAATAAATTAAAGTTTTTTTTATAGAAAGGCTATCATGGATTGATTTGTAAGAAGTACTAGTCAGATTAGAGATTATTTTAAAGAATCGTACCTAAATTGTTGATTGTTTTGAGATTATAAAAAAACTAAAATTTAATGAATTTCCATTGGTTAAATACCTAATCATGTTTGTGAATGTGTATATAGTTGTATAGATGCAATCTTGACCGATTTGTAACTTCGTTGAACGAGTAAATAAAATACAGGTTTTATAATGAATTAATCTTTTATTTCAGTGAGTTGTCTGTCCAAAAATATAATGCGTACGCAGCTATTCACTTGTCAACAGGCTACAGAATTACAAAGTGCACTTTGATCGTACTCTAACAAACTATAATACAAGGCAATAGGGGGCGCCACACCGCGCCGTACATCGACCAATATGTAGTGGACACAACAATTTCCAATACCTACACAAAATTCTTATCAAATTAACTTTTATCCAATGCGAAGAAGAAAACAAAGTAACGTGGCGAAAACTTACGCATTATTTAATGTCTACTTTCCTTGGTAAAATCTAGCTTTAGACTTAGACGGCACTGTTGACACGTTAATTTGTTTCCTTACTTATTAAAAACCCCGCGATGTGTGGCGCGGTGTCTGCCGTACATTACACACGCTGTAGGTATGCAAGCGGCGTCGTATTACAACAATTAACTTACTAGAACGAACGCTCAATGAAACACTCGTCAACAACACTAAACTGTTTGTTCGATAAATACCCTTGTTGGAACTGTCTAAAGTTCATTTATGTGTTTAAAAGTTTACTAAAATATTTTTTGCGGCATTTATGGACTCCAATTTGTCAAATATCGTTTATTTTAATGCAAAACACTTCCAACAAGGTAAAATTTACATGAGAATGTCAAATAGCACATGGTATCAACAACACTATTAGGTATTGCTATTTCGTCATCCATTCAGCCTATTATAAACCTAAGTTTGTAGTTACAATACTTAAAATTAAATATATATAACTCCTTCAAAAATTATATTGATTACATTATTAATTTTTCAAAATTTGGTAAAAATTATACATGTACGAATTAGTTCATAAACGCCGAACCGAAAGTACGAAGCAAGCGACCACAGTCCAAGCGAGTTTCGTAGTACGTAATAAAGTATTTATATAATTTTACCCTGTACATATTCAAAGACGAATGTTATTACCAATCTTTTCATTTACTAGGCCGGTTGCATTGAGTCAACAGGGGTCTGTATCGCAAGTCTAGGGGGCTCAACTAAGTATGTACAAAATCCAGCACCTATGTGCACCTAATGTCCTATCTAAATGAATATTTCATTTTGTTAGATTTTTGTTAATTGACTATTGGCCAGTCCTAAATAACCTTCAGTGGCCAAACTTACCGACGAATAGGTTTTTGGAACTGGCCGACTTTTCAGTAGTAGATATAGCTACTATTTCATTTATTTTTCTAGCCTTGAAATCGTAAGATAATCAGCGTCCACCAATGTTATCCTGTCGACTCGCATAATATATTGCAAAATTATCAAAAGCTAAATTGATGTAATTTCAAAAGGTACAAAACGCTTCATTAGCACTAACAATGCTCGAGCAATTTATCATTAAATGTTACAAAAGTAATACTGGTTGATTAATTTCGCCTGGTAATTTAGGGGCTTCATAAATGTCACATATTGTGCCGATTTTCATTGTATTAATATTGTGGTATCTATGGGACCTGGACAGCAAGCCATCACACAAATTCATCACAACTTCACACAAAACTATTTGCAATCTATCCACCTTCAATGGCACAAAAATATATCGCCGATCTTTTTATAATTCATTGATAAAAGTTATAGAATTCTAATTTACAACTATTGCTTGTAGTACGAAAATACTATGTTTTATTTATATTTAATGGCACTTCTAAAACTTTTGTATTATTTAACTTCCAAATCGATGAAGATGAACACTAATTTGATACTTACGTTATGGCAAAAGAGACATTTTAATACGAAAACAGCTATGTCCAGCTCAAGTATTCACTCGTTAACGCTATTATCTCATAATATTTGCTAATTATTTTACATTATTACAATGTAGAAATGCATAAAATCTTGCTAGCATAGAGTTAATATCCTTATAAGAAATATTGCTATGTTCTGTGTACTAAGAATCAGACGGCACACGGGAATATATGGGAGTGGAACCCGGGACTGTCAATGACGGAGTACCAGGCGTGGACAACTGAGTATGGAGCACTGCTGACCCTTACTCACTTGTCTCCACTTGAAAATCATTTTGTAACTTGTATTATAACATTTTTCAATAAATTCATCTCACAACCCACTACAAAGTCGTAAACAATGTACAAATTGAGTGAATAATATACTCTAATTACAATATATACGTATATATAATACAGTTTCGCGAGATACATCTGAGATCTAAAACATAAGGAACTTAACAATAACTGTTCGAACTCAATACATCAAAAAAAACGAAACAGTTCACGTTCAAATTATTTGTTACATTATAGTAATATCTACAAATAATATTGTCATGAATTTAATACAATATTCTACATGGCGGATATGTATTTTCTTTCTCATTAAATACGCCAATAACTAAATACATACAAATGTATAGAATTTATGTATTTTAACTATAGAATAACACAAAACAGTGTAGTTATTTTAACAAATTCAGGACTTACTTCCAGATGTCTCAACAGAATTGATTCTACAGATTTATTAATCATACAATCTTAAAAGATCTGCATAAAATAACTACAAATCACACATCTTGATTCTACATGAGAAAGAAAGTACATGAGCAGGTCACCGTCCACATACTTTGCGAGTGCCAAAAACGACGGTGGCGCCACCTGCTCCGCGCGGATATGTCTCAGCAACCTTCCTCCGGTTAGGTCAGGATTACCTTACACTACCTATCTACATTAACAAGCTACGCTACATCTAAGACGACTGGACACAACGTACAAACCGTCATTTAATGATTTTATTTCATTAATCTGTGTCATTTTGAAGTTGAGAAAGAATATTCAACAGAAAAATATTAATCATTAATTTATTATTAGTGTTTATGCAGTACGAGTTTTCGGGAAAACTGTGTAAGATTAGTTTTAAATGCAGCAATTTATTCAACTTGGATAAGTTGATTAAATTGCTAAGACTGGCGTACACAGTTCCACTTTGGATTTTTGGTTGAACTCAATTATAAAACTTATATTTTATTGTTCAATAATCTTCCTCAACATTCCAAATGAAACATAGAAGCACTCTATTTTGTAGCACACAGGAAATGTCATCCAATATCGAATTTATAAACTTCTTGTACCATACAAGGTACTCTACATTTTTTGTAGTCTTACAAACGTTTGAAAATGATGTTTTTCCTTATGAAGAAAATGTTATAAAGAAGTATTTTGATAGCCTAAAATTGTTGGCTTAAATTTCGCACCAAACGTTAAAAGCACACAACGAACATCCCACACGAATGGCACTGTATTTGGCCAAAATATAATGGAGAAAAATTTCAAAAATATAGGCCCAATTTTGTAGTAAATGCATCGAGGGTAATAATTTAGGAACATGTTGGGAGCCGGCGCTCTGTCAAAGATGCGACGTGAAGAGTGGAGTAGAGATGTCATCGAGTGTCTTAAGCGCCAACATCGGCTCATAACATTTACAGTGGTCAAACACTACGGGAAAACCAATAGAATTTCGTTATTCACACAATATCTCTCCCTTTAGTTTCAGTGCAGATCACTCAGTGGTTGTTTAACACAGTCTACGGCATGAATCATGGCCAGATTTTTCGAGGTAGAGCTGAGTTCGTGAATTGTTATTTTTGTTATTGTCTGCGCGTGAACGTTGCCGGACCACGAGCGCGCGAGCGGAAGCGGCACACGCCATTTTATTTAACGTTTATTTCTTTTAATATGTCAAACATTCAGTCCACAAATTCATTGAAGATACCCATCCCAAGAGTTATAGCCAATATTTAATTTGATTCATGACTATTGAGAAGTTAGTTAAAGAAAGAATAAGAAAAGAAAGTTCATAGTTAAAAAGTAAAATAATGTGAACCTTACGCCCACCACGAAAAGTCCAACCATAATAAATTCATGCCGCATTCTAAACACATCTTTACCCCACTCCTCTTATCTCCTCTTTAATAGAGTCCTGGCAGAAGTTTGGCACCTTCCTTTCCTTATTAAAAGTTCTGTTGTCGCTTACGCTTGAGATGTATAGCGTCGAGTATGGGCTGTCGCTTGCGATGGTAGCGCGCGCGCAGACGTTCGATGTCGGCCTCCATCTCCGCGTCCAATCGCGCCACGCGATCTTCCAACTCCGTTACTGATAGGTAGCCGAGCTGGAAGGATAAATTTTCATTTATATGGACGTTGGACTTATGGGGAAGATGCGGTTTTAAATTCCAAAGCATGTTGATTTTATATATAAAGCGCATAATGCAACTAAATTAGGTACGTAGACACATATAAACAGTAAGTTTTGAAATCATTGTTACAAAAACTTGAAACTCATCTTCCCTATAAAAAAACTAAACAAATTTTTTTTCAAGCGCAGGTTATTAATTAATATATTAATGAAAGTAATTTCTTGTAGAAACCACACAATGTAAAGTAAAGCGATTAGTGACGCACACATCCGTTATCCGCTCGTATTAGTGACGTACGTACAATATGTACATATTGACACTTGACAGCTTCACAAACTGAGCACAGTACACAATACCAATCATATATTAGTGTTACGAATACTTTAGAAATAAGGACCGATTAATATTAGGTAATATATTAGTTAGAAGCAGGTAACGCTGTCAATAACAGGGGTGTAATAATGATGAATGAATACTTGCTTTGAAACTGTAGTTGAAGTCATGCAAACTAAGTAAATTGTATCGGGCTTCTTATATTTGGATCACTGTTTGGGTTTGCCACCTAGGGAGGTAGAAAATAGTTTTAGAAATGTATATAGTTGGTGTATGGGAGGGTCGGAGTGTGCGCCTTACGTGTTTGTAGCGGGAGGACGGTGAGGACGTGCAGCTGACTTACGAATTCGAAGTTCCCCTCCTCCACGAACGCGCGCTGGAATGCTAGCGCGGGGTTCGCTTCTGATTCGGTTTCTGCTGTTACACTGCCGGACAAATTATTGTCAATTAGTACAGAGTATTGAAGATTTGTTTTATGGCATAAGCTGGTAAACGAGCAGACGGATCACCTGATGGTAAGGAATCAGCGTCGCCCGCCAGGTGTCCATCCTGGAACACTGAGGCGTTACAAGTGCGTTACCGGTCTTTTGGGGAGTTAGGAGTTTGAGGATCGTTAGGAATTCAGGAATTGGGGAAGGGGATTGAGCCTCCGGTAACCTCACTCACACGACGAAACACAACGCAAGCGTTGCTTCACGTCGGTTTTCTGTAAGGCCGTGGTATCACTACGGTCGAGCCGGCCCATTCGTGCCGAAGCATGGCTCCCACACTTTATTTTTTTTAAATTACCACAGTTAAATTATTATTCTTACTTATAATTTGCACTGTTCGGTAAATAACAATCAGGATTCAGATATTTTTATGGATGATTTATGGACACTCGTAACACCGAATGACTTGTAAGTTGTCGGTCTTCGGGGAGAGGACAATTAAATAAATAGAGAGGAATAAGTAATGTACCTGTCTTCATCAGGCACTATTCGGTGCGCAGGAGTGAGTGTCCCGTTAGTGGTGGCGGCCATATTGAGGTGGTTGACCTCTTTCTTCTCGAAGTGCTCGAGGAATAACGGCCGGTACTTCGGACGATTCGTGTCCATTGGATCTGTGTCGTGACCTGGAAGGCATAAGGATATTATGTCGTATATTTGTTTGTCATGTGTAGCTGGTGGTTTTCCAATACATAAATAAATAAATAAATATTTTTGTAATTTCCTTTCCTCGTCATATCAGCTTACAACCCTAAAGCAAAGCAAATTAGTCGATATTTGCTTTAAGTGACCTTTATCAACATTAAAGAGTATAAATAAGAAGTAAATACTTATGAACACATACAAGTACTGATTTTGTTATAAGAATTATTGACTGCCTCGTTGGCCGAGTGGTCGCAAGTGCGACTGCCGGGCAAGGGGTCTCGGGTTCGATTCCTGGGTCGGGCAAAGTATTACTGGATTTTTAAAAATTTTCAGTAAGGAACGGCAGGCGTTCAGCACGGAGTCTGGAATTGTACCCGGTATATGGCAATAGGCTCACCCCCTATTACATGGGACTCATAACAAATAGTGAAAAGTGGGCGTTACATTGTACAGTGGCATAATGTGCACCTCTGCCTACCCCTTCGGGGATAAAAGGCGTGATGTTATGAATTATTGACCTCTTCTTGCCTATTTTCTGAAAAGCCCGTCGCTTATTCCCAATCACTACGACTCCGACTACTAAGAAAAGTATCGAACTGAAATAATAAAGGCGAAACTGTCCTAAAACCCGCAATAAACCAGACTCCACTTCCTTCCACTCTCCTCAGAACAATTGGCAACACTTCCCCCATTTTTTTTATTAGTGAATATTCTTCTTACGTTTCATAGTAGCAAGGTCTGCGTCAGGCTCGTTGATGACCATGGTGCCGAGGTCTGCCGCCAGGTCCGTGGTGGCGTCTCTAGCGGGGACTAGCGTACCATCGCCGCGCTGCTTCATCGTCGCTTCCTCGTAACCCTCGCCCTGTAGTATAGATAGTATAGAATAAAGTATAAATAGCTTAAGAAAATATAAAAATATATTTTGGAAATATGAAAAGGTATAGGTACGACTGCTTAACTGCTAAGTAACGAATGGAGTTTCTTGCTTGGAGTTCTTCTCCACTCGAATCTGTATTTTGGAATGAGCGCCTAGCTTCACTGACGGATCAGACTGACAGACTATTGTTTATTTTATATTTGTTGACGTTTCAAAAGTACCAAATTGTGGTTTAATTGAAATAAATGCTTTTTAGTTTGACTTTAAAAAATATAATTATACTCATAAAGAATTTAGAAAAACCAACAGACGAAACATCTCTTCGTCCATTTCCAATGTCTATTATAATGACTGCACGGTTGGCGTGTGTCGGGTTCGATTTCCGCAAGGAGCAACTCTTTGTAAAATCTACAGATTGTTGTTCCGGGTCTGGGTATTATGTGTATGTGAACTTGTATGTTTGTAACCGCACCCACGACACAGGAGAAAATAATAGTGTGGGTCAACGTTATTTTTTAAATAATAAATAATAGGAAAGATATGCCACTACAGATAATTTGTACCATCAAAATTAGTTTCCTATAAGTGTACATGAAGCCGCATTCCCATTTTAAAAGTCAGAGGCCTTAGTACAAGTTTCATTTACGTTTAAAGTATTCGTAACGAGTACGCGTTCGGCACTGTGATTGGTTGGTTCATTGGCGCCGGCCAATCACAGTGCCGAACGCGTACTCGTTACGAATACCTACTTTAAACGTAAATGAAACTTGTACTAAGGCCTCTGATCTCAATTTCATTACGATCAACAACCAGTGACAAACCATCTCTATACATAAGGAGTTTATCATCAAAATTTTAATATTAAATGTCTCACAGATGTATAAATCACTCACCGCAGCAAAAGTCTTAGCATTATTAGTGTGATGCTGTGCATTCCGGAACACTTGGCTCTCTCTGATCTCGCGAGCTTCGGCTATCATTGTGCTCAGGATACTCGGATGTTTGGCGTTACCTGGAACAATATTAACATGACATTATATTATTTTGTTTTCGACTTACTCGCAGGTCGTCGCAGGTCGCAAATGCTTACTCATGAATATGACCCTCTAGCATAGCTTGAAACTAGTCGAGTTCCTCGTCAAATAATTACGTGAGTAAGCCGTAACCATAATAATTTATTTCGTATGTCTCACGAAAGTTATAATAAAAATATCCCATATCCTTACTTACTAATATTATAAATCAGATAGTGAGTTTGTTTGTTTGTCTGTTCCGCTTTCACGCCGTAACCACTTAACCGATTGCTTTGAATTTTTGCAGACGTGAAGTTAGAAGTCCGGATTAAATAATAGGGTACTTTTTATCGCGGAAAAATTTGATATTCCCGAGGGAAAACAAAAGTATTGGTATAGATGGCGCTGTGTGTATTGGTATATGTCACATAGGCTACTTTTTATTCTTTTGTGACGTGAGCCAAGCCGCGGGTAAAAGCTAGTTTTTAAATAAATTTGTCAAAATTGGTCCATCCGTTTAGGAACTACGATGCCACAGATATAAATACAGATTACAGAGATATACAAAATGTGTAACCGTTAAGTTTATCTCGGAATTTCTTTTCAGTATAATCATACGTTTAAAAATGCTACTGAAGAAACATCATTTATCATTGATTTATCATCGTCGATATCAAAAAGGGCCATCATATTGCACCTACCTATAAACTCGTGTGTTAACAGGTACTCGGCAGTTGCTCGCTCCTCGGGGTTCTTCACTAAACACTGACTTACGAAGTCTATGAACTCTGGAGACCATTGATCTGGCTCTCTGGAAAACATAAACATAGTTTTTAACAAGGTTAATGTTAAACCACCAACCACACAACCATAAAATGTTGAAATGATTACGGGGTTTAAACGGCATACTCCCGAAAAACGCCGACATGTTAAGGTACAAAACAAGTTTATATTTTCATAAAAGCAAGGAATTAAATGTTTCTTTTATGTAATACTAGTTGTAATTGTAATCAACTGCTCAAGGCTGATGTTGCATGAATAACGTGAAAAGATAAACGTGAATATACTGAGAAAAGCTCTACTAGTTTCGAACCACAGAGGCGTTCTTCTTCATGTGCAGCGTGTGCGGAGAGTAGAGCCTTTACATTATACATTACATTACATTAATTTGATACAAGTCATGGTGTCGTAGTACAAAATTATATCAGTATATTCACGTGAGTAACCTGCGATTTTTAGTTAATTTAGTATATCTCACGATAGTTATTATAAAAACAAAATAATTAAAATTGTAAACATAATTTCTTTTTGTCAGCATTTCGGGAGCGTTCTGTTCACACCCTATTATATATATAATAGCATTAATAAGTTTTGAAAAGTTAATTCAATAAAACTCATACCCAACCCAGATATTGAATTCAAAACCTCTTGTATAGCATTTGCGCTTGTGAGCGCTCGTTCCCTCAACAAGGAAGTAAATAAAGTCTAAGCACCTGTACAAGAGTTCCGGTGTGGCTTGAAACTAGTAGAGCATTTCTCGAAGAGTTCACACGAGTAATCCGTATGTTCAATTAATAAAAAAAAATCCTCACCTAAACGACGGAGGTGGTTTAGTAGGTATCATGAAGATAGCTCTCATGGGGTGTATGTCACCATACGGTGGCTTCCCCTCTGCCATCTCCAGCGCCGTGATACCCAGCGACCAGATATCCGCCACACAGTCGTAGCCAATCTCCTGGATCACTTCGGGAGCCATCCAGAATGGAGTGCCTATTACTGTGTTGCGTTTAGCCATTGTGTCCTGAAATTAATGAATTAATAAATGAACTAAAAATGTGTCTAGGAACAAAATCTTTATCTAGGAGATTGTAAAGATTTGGGTTTAATTATAGAACGATACCCAAGCGGAGATCGTTACTCAAGTAGAAAGGGATGTATGTATCAAGCAATCGCGCTCGTGCCACGGCCTTTTTAGCTGAGCACTGACCTTTTTGCACCGTGTACACTGTTGTTTTTTTTTAAACTATTTTTTTCTTGTTTTTTCTGTAATGGTGCAAATAAACTGTTTTTCTTTCTTTCTTTCTATCTGTTGAATTTTTTATTTGCGTTCCTTTCTAACTATACCCACTTGAGAAGAGATATCGACCTGAGTATCGTTCTATACGGATCCTAGTAACTTATCACCAATACTTTTACTGGAATTCTTGAGAACAGCGACACGGTAGGAACTTTCAAAATCATTCACAAAATATGACCGAGAGAAATTTCTATAAATAATACAAACACGTCATCTCACCGTCAACTGACCAGCGACGCCAAAATCTGCTAGTTTAGCATGACCTTCTGTATTCAGCAGGATGTTCCCAGCCTTAATATCTCTGTGGATCTTCCGTCTTCTGTGCAGGTACTCCAGACCCTTGAGGGTGTCACACAGGATGGTGGCTATCTCGTCTTCTGATAACGTCTTTTTACGCAGCCTCATGATGTCGGAAACAGAGCCGGCGCCACAGTACTCCATTACGATCTGGAATTATGGATGAATGTGTAGCAGTTGTCAAGGTACCAGTAGTTTTTGTCAGCTGGTCGTGTGAAATGTATGTAATTCGAAAAAAATGTTTGGTGAACGATAGGGATGTTTTCTTTTTCCATTTTTTGGGAAATAGTTAAAAACTTATTGCTCTTTGCATTTATAAATAATACCTTATTAAATCCATGCACTATATTTCAAGCAGAAATTAGCACTCAAAAGTTTGTACGCATAACTATCTAATTATCTACAGACACACATGATACTTAGCCATTTTTGGAGTTTCAGTTATCACATCAATAACAGCCCGTGACATCCGCTACTAGATGGAGTACGGTTTCGATTTAATACGTAGTGCCTTATTTGGCTTTAACGACATCCGCGGGAAAACTACATGTGCTGATGGTCCACCGAGGAGGATTTAGTAAGACCTCACCTCACGCACAGGATAATCCTGTGCGTGAGGTAAGAATTCCACTCTCTATAGTTTCCTAATAAGCTGAAATCCTTTATCCTCTTGAAAGTTGCGGGTATAATTTGTTTTATACCGGGAGCCGCTGTTTCAACAGATAAAAGGTTAAAAGGCTTTCAGCTTAAGCCTATTCAGTCGTAAAAAAATGGATGCGTCATTAGATTGCCAGTTACTGCACATTCCACATATATTATCTCATGTGTGTATATTTGCAAGCTTGTATCTGATAAGTTATCAATCGCATGTTGACCTTGAAGAGTTCTAAGTTCCAATAAAACTGTCCGTCTGTCGCCTGTCTGCCCACCAATTAATAGACACATCTTGATTAATAGTCTGTGTGTCAATTACAAGCTATTAAGGACACTGGTCTTAAGTAAATAGTGGGGTACAGATTAGAGAACAATGTGAACATAGAATAGAAGCGACTAATGAGTTTGTAATCATTTTTCTTATAAGATTATGTAATGATGGACATTCTTACCCATTCTTCTCTATATACAATGCATATACACAAATCTTAATATGGAGGACATATTTTGGTATCTATTAATTATACATCGTTAAGTTATTTACGGTTTAAACGATTAAAGGAGAGGCCGTGAACAGAAACAGACTTAATGATGATAATTAGTGGATTATCTTTGATTTTAAGCTGGATTAGCGAATATAAATTCAATTTTAATAAGCCGCGCCCTTCAAGAAAAAATCATACGACATTCAGTTGCATAATGTACTAATGTTTATCATAATACCGACACGTGCAAACTTTACTAAAGTTCAAACTGATAAGAGGTGGCTTTGGTAGTGTAACTGGTGTATTTCAAAACTATACAATTTAATACTGAGGGCTTGGTATGAATTTGGTAAACGTTACCGGGTGCGGCGCTCTGATTGGCTTGCTCCAATGAACCAACCAATCAGAGCGCGCAAAGCGGTTTCAATGTCGTTAAACATAAAACAAATTCGCACTAAGCTCCCTAAACACTACTAATATTGAAAGCTAGTTAAGATTACACATGCATGTATCTAGTTTGCATTGAAGCGAACACAATTAGCTACACTTTATTATGAATATTTTGTTAAGATTCAATCACGAACATTGTTTCTTTCTAGTATTCGTTTCTAAAATCTACAGCGTTGTTTTCTTCAGAATTATTAAGTCCTTCTCTTATAAAAACGCAATAGTTATTACTTAACGCAATACTACTTAAATTACTTAACGATATGGCGGTAAAGTAGGAATGAGGCAAGGAAATGTCGTCACACGGCCTTTCACCCCAACCGGCCAGTTTATTTCCAATTATAAGCTAGGAAAGTTACGCCTAATAGCTTTGCGTTGCTCAGTAAATTTATTTACAACTTGTTTTACTTAGCACTTACATAAAAGTACGTAGGTAAGTTATTTGGTACATCGCTTGTATGCGTCAAGACTTATAAACAGCATAACGGCATTATTGGCTTCGGTATGTTTACCTAATTCATAGGTAGTGACCAAATTAGGTGATGATTAGAGGTGCACAATTTCAAATGACTAACTATTAAATGTCAACATTTACTTTTCCTTACTTTAAACGTAAAAAAAACTCGTCTTAGTACGAGTTTTTTCCTCTAATAGGAATGAAATCAGTTGCCAATGGCAAATTCCGTTGACATTTGTGAAAACTACATTGTCTGTGCATGCACAAAATCACGGCCACTTACATAAAAGTACGATTATGAGATGAACGACCGTGTTGTCCACTTACTAAACATATTGTGACCTCTGAATGCCTCACCCATAGGTCTGTGTTCTTGAAGTAACTGCCGTAGTACTTGACCACGTAGGGGCTGTCACACTGCTGCATGATAGAGATCTCTTTGATGATCTCCTGCAGGTCTGTGTCGACTGGGACCTGCTTGATCGCGAGCACCTGCCCGCTTTCTTTGTGTAACGCCTGGAATCAAAAAATTTATATGAGTAATCATAACTTTAGCAGCTTGTGAGCGTCCACTCCTGGACTACGAGCGGACCTTCTCTACGAAAGAGGGCTATGCCATAATATCTATGTCTGGCAGACTGGTCGGAGATCGCAGTTTTATAATGTATTTAAACCGAGAAAATACTTAAGCCAGGACCAGAGCTGAATCAATCATTACGTAACAGACTTAAGTATAACTTAACTGCTAGTTTTTATATTTACTGCAGATTTAACGAAAAAGAAAATCTATCTAGACAATTAACAAAGTCTCCTACAAAGAACTACTGGCTACGCCACTCTAATGAATACAATTTTAGGAAGTAACTAAGTGGATTGCGGTGTTTTAAGCTACGCTATCTGGATACCGATCAGGACTAACTCAGTGAGATCTGGCAAAGGATCTAAAGACAATTTAATTATAAATTGTTGAATCTTTCCAAAGTCTGAAAGCCTTGAAACTTTCATACTAAGTTTTCATACTGTTCAAGCATTCATTAAAATAAAATATCTAGGTGAAAATGTATTAAAAATTTCGTACACTTTAGCTAAAAAATTGTCTAGACGGAGAAGATTAAACTTAAGGAAACTATTGTGTACAAGGCACAGTTTCACGCTTTATTTATTTTTCGTGGCTTCTTCATACTGTTGCATTGTACATGAATTTGTAAGGTTTCTACACCACTTGGACATGCTTTCAATATATTCCGCGTAATAGGATCAGCAGAGTGATCTTGCATGCTATACCAATTATACAAATTACGAGAAACACAGCCAGTTCTTAAGTTCTAATTAACTCTAACTTTAAGAGGAAGGAAACAAGTCTAATTAGCAAAGTTTCGGTAGTTTGATAAAGTTTTATTAGCTACGAATGCTACGATGGTGGACTTAGGTAGGTACTTCTGTAATGAAATATTACTGTCTTCAATCTTGTTACTATGAAAGATATGTTTTAGTAAAGAGTATCCCACCACATCATTTCCTCTATCTGCCCAGCCCTGACGCAGTGTCAGGGCTGGATCAGCAAGTGCAGTAACTATAAATGTTCCATCCACTTTCCAAGAAATTGCTGTTTAGAGTTATATGTATGTATTGGTATCGTATACATACAGGATGTAAACGGAACAAGTTTCATTATCATAAAAGCAAGGAATTAAATGTTTCTTTGATGTAATAATAGTTATAATCAACTTCTAAAGGATGATTTTGCATGAATAACACGAGCGTTCCGTTTACACCCTGTACATTTTCATTCTCGACTTCTTCTAAGACCTTCGGTGTCTGGTTACCTTATAAACACTGCCATATGAGCCCTCTCCGAGTTTGCATATAATGTCAAAAACCTCCTCCGGTTGCCGCGTCAAACTCTCCTCGGAGAGCTTCTTCAGCTCACTGTAACAATCATACATGGGATTCAAAAATAAAGTACATACATACAGCTGTACATACGGCACTTAATGCCACTGTACAATGTAACACCCACTTTTAGGGTGAGCCTATTGCCATATATTTGCCATATACCGGGCACTTATGTACCTATTATATGTTTTCTTATAAACTACAATAGCTATAAACACATCTACAATCTAAGAGCAAAGTTCAATAATTATATCGAAGACAGCATCGACAAATTATTGCCTATTACACAGCTCATATCTTTGGTCGCTCATTTATCGAGAAATATGGCCGTTCCAGTAAGACTAAATAAAAATCATACAACAATCGCCCTCTAATGTTAACGAACTTTTATCAAATATGGGTGTGACCCCTCCCACACTACTGATGAAGTGTTCAACTATCCATTCGATCGTTTACAATAACTGAGGAGTTATTTTTCAAAAAATATTATTTAATAGCCATTTTTCACAACATTATTTATGGCTGAAATAAAATAAATAAATAGTAACGTCAAAAAACCAATTTATCAAACGAAGATTTAAATTTTTAGAAGTCAATAATTTATGAGAGATGTTAAAGAGACGAATCACAGCGTGCTATAAATTATGTAAAGCGAATTCTGATATTGGAGGACTCATACCCAACCACCGATAGCCTAATTAATTATATGGAAGAAATATGGAGGTAATATATAATGTAGAACTTTTACCACGACATACAAATTAAACCAAATAAAACGGAATACATATTAAGGAAGGAAATAAACTCTAAATAAATAAACTGAAAGCATTACATACATTACATATACTTATGCTATAAATAACCGCGACTCGTATAATTTATACAATTTGCAATTCATAGAAAAAGAGGAACGGAACGGAATATCGCAAAGAAAAGTAGCAAACCAATATAGTGACGGAAATAGCTTGTTTATTTGTTATTCAAAGGTCAACAGACGGTCCAGGCCATTTCGACCACTATTGCAAAACCCAGGACAAGATATTGAGACTCTTTTCCTACAATTGGTGTCTAAGGGATTCTAAGGGTCAGGCATACAACAGTAAGACTCGACAAAATTAATTGAAACAAGGTTACGTATTCAAAGATAATGTTGTTGAATTCCATGGACGTTTCCGGGAAACTACTAGGCATGCATAAATAATAAATGCTACATTTATTTAACCATTATATTGAAATCAAAGTTCCCTATTAAAGTATCTGTACCTAACGTGACTGTACAGCGGAAACATTACTGTAAATATTTTTACATGCGAGAATGACATCATGTTTATTGAATTATCCTGCAGCTAAATCTACAACCCTGTAGACAGACAAGACTTAAGATGACTTTGGGAAGTATAAAAATAAAATACACTGATAAAATATCCCCGTATCTGGATATCGACTACGTTTGTGGCACACAGAGGTAGGTAGAAAGGCCTGTGCGTATCATGTGACATCAGCTGAACGGAATTTATGGAAACCAAATCTTGTGGCCTAACGAGGTGAAACAGAACCAACACTCGGCTAAAAGAGTCACCAGATTGTTTGTTGCTAAGGTACAATGCTTTGGTTAAAGAACATCGTCACAAAAACCCAACAGACTTTAGTTCTTAAAACTAAAACGGGCCGCGGTATGCGACACATGCTAATTATAATCCATTGTGATGATTTACAGCCAATATTTATGTGTCGAGCGCACTGGTGTAGCATGCCGGTTTTATGGTACGACTAAATGTTGCCAACACCTGGACCGTCAGTCTCCGATGTGAATGCGTTCCTGCCCACACAGGCTCATTCACTGGAGCTTCACTTATAATATAACAGTTATTTAAATCCACATGCTGTACATCTCTAAATATTCTGTGTGACTCAATGACTCAATGTACTTTGTACTGGGCTAAATATCCAAGTAACAAACATAGATGAAAGGTGAAAGTACTAGTTTATTTCTGAACTCCGCTAGAAATACTTTGAGAACTTTCAGATGACTGAGATTTCGTAGAATCACACGTGTAAGTGGATTTGTGGATCAGAGTGAAGATAAGTAGTCTAGATTTGAGTCATCCGACTGACCTGTTTATAAAATAAAAAGAGCTCGGAGAGTTGATTGCCTGACAAAATGAAATATCACTACGACACAATTTATCAAAGGAACAATATTAGCAATGAATCTAGGACTTGGTAAGACAATAAACACGGGAAGCGTTCACTACGTAACATGAATAAGTATGCCAAACGTTTACTACTGTGAGTAACACGTGATGAGCTATGTCCGCCTACTCCATACATGAACACAATCGAAAGGCTTCCTTACTGATAGTGATAACGTGCAATTAAGCGTAAACATTACAATTCACCTACATCACGTCATCACTATTAAAACAAAGATTTTCGCCAGTTTGCCATAAAGGTGATCAAACATGATCTAACAAAAAGTAGTGTCCAAATTCAGGGATCACACCTTAAAAAAGAAAAAGATTCATGGATCACATTTTTGTGGGTCTAAATTAGATTTCTAAAAACTACGTTTGCAAGATTTTAGTTGAAGAGATTAAGTGTAGGACTATAGAATGTAGGTCTACATTTTAAAAACACAGAAGCGGTTTTGTATCAATTCAGTTGGTTATGTAAACCTGAAGATAGAAAAAAAGAGTCCGTAATTTAACTATTTTCTTACCAATTTAACTATTTTCTTACCAACAATACCGCTACAGACGAAAATGTCCTACTTTAATCAAGTTGATAGTCAATGCATGCACTCACCTATTTATTATGCTTGCATTAATGCTAATACAAGAATTCTTCAGCGAATTGAGTAATGATTGCAAGGTAAAGTGTTTTATATTGTTGTCAGGGATGTATTAACATCTTCATTTTTGTTACAAACTAGTTTTCATTTTCGGTTAAAAGAAGATATATTAGAATTTGCGCCCTCATAACAATTTTATACAGTAAAGGAGGCATTTTTAAACTTGTCGCATCGTGGTCATCATCATTCGTTTTCCACGAGACAAAATCGAGGTCAAGAGCGGGCTCGTTCATTTATAAAAGTCACTCTAACTAAAGCATGGAAATTCCTCGCCCTTGAGCCTTCACCAGAATACTTCCAACAGTCTCGTCGTTTTAATTAACTTTTAGTTTAACTGTTTACGTGCCATCTAATTGAAACTTTTAAAAGAAAAACTACAGAATCATTTAGTTACCTATACTCCGTCTGTTTAGGTAGTTAACTATTTGTAAACAAACCATAAAAAGAGTTCTTTATAGTTGACACTTCCATGATTCAAAATACTTCACAAGAAAATAAAATTGTTTCCATTTTTACGACAGTTTTCTCTATTAAATTTTATGTTTCTGTTCCTTTTCACTTATTTCTTAGTAAATATTATATATATCTGCTTGAGCATAATAATTTAATAACATTTATTAAATAATATAATATTTCATCACAATAGACACCATAAAGAGCCTAAAATCCCAGGTATCCAAAACCTTTCTTTATGAACGAAGCATTAGATAATGTTGTCAAATTAAAGAGTACAACTAAGATGTAGCGCGACAATGAAAGTAGCGTGTATTACGTTTAGTCGGTTAATCAAGCGCCATTGACAGCTCTCTCGTCGGTTGCGCTCGCGTTTCTATTTGGTTGAATTTATCTTGTTTCTTTGTTTTGTTTTTGTTATTAAGTATTTAAGTTTAGGATATTCATCGTTTGTAATTAATGTGTTCAAATATATTTAAGGAACTTGGCCCAAAGACACATATCCGTACAAAAAAGAAATCCGTACATCAAATTCAGAATAGTTTCTATTTGAACATGATAATGAAATAGACCCATAGGCTAGGCTCTTGTACAATTTAGGCATTTGTACTTGTATGTGTGTGTATGACAAATGAACGATTTTAAAGTGAATTTAGTTAAAATTAAAACACGAGAAATATTTGAAGTAATAGTAGGTTAAGTATCTCTGTGTCACGTGGTTTTCTTTGTTTACCTTTAGTTAATTACCTAAACAGATGGACTATAGTTTGTATTTGATCCGAAATGGCCTAATTGGTTACATTCTTACATTCAACCAAATCTCTATATCCGAAAAATGATGTCATTAGTTGTATAACACGCGATAAGAGTGCACAAGTGATTATAAATGTATTACATGTAAATCATATAAACGACGTAACAGTAGTGAGCTGACAGTATGTTTATACAGATGTACAAATAACGACTTTAGATAAACACATTGCTTTGATTGATTACTTCTATTTGGACATACACAAGTACCTACTTGATGAAACTCTATTTGAAAGAATAAACATAGATGTCCTAACTGTAGGTATACTCTTTTGTTGGGCATATTTACTAGTGTCATAATATAAGGGTCGAAAAAGATCCGATAACGTATCTTAGGACATCAGATAAATGGACCTTTTGTGAGATTTGGACAACTGATAAGAATATCATTTTGAATAAAAAGTTAGGATGAAAAAGGACAAGGTTAAGTACTGTCAGTTGAGATAAACTCACAGATTTCCTACTGTTTGATGATTCGAAACAAATTCTATTTAGATAGTTAGAAGCTGATAACGAATATTAGAGCACTCTAGATAATTCATTCGAAATATCAACAGCCATTTTATGTTAGGTGGAAATAAGAGGGAAGATCATAAAAGTATAATATAATTTATTAAAATGATTTATGGTTTGACAGACGAGCGACGTTTATAGGCTCCAAAATCTTAACCCGTACCTGTAATCGTTACCCGTAGAATTACCTGCAAGCATTGTTAATTATAAGCATTGTTAAAATTAACCTTTAGCAATTAACAATGCTTACTTGAAATCTCACTTCAAGGTCAAATCTTACATGACCTGACAATGTCAAAACAAAGAGAGATAAATCAATGATTAGTCTTTGTTCCATTGTTCTCAATTAACAATATTAAACCAATATAAGAATCAGAATCGCTCTTTCGATATTAAAAATTGACTGCGGACCGCTGCAAAACTGGTTCCGAAGTCCGGGCCTATTCGCAAGGGCCAGTGATTCATGCAAATAATATTTACCCTTATATGCAACAAAGCGAAAATAAGCACACAATGCTGAGAATTTGTTCGAAATAACGATCTATTTACGTGCAAACACTGTGCAGACTCGGTGTTTCGAGTAATGCACTTTAATTGCCAGGGTAATCTCGCAGATTTAGGTCTTAAGCTCAAAGATTTGTAGGGGATTCAAGTGTGACTAACCTACAAAGTAGTGTAATTTGAAGAACTAAAATAAAACAAAGCGGTAGTCCTAAAGTAATACCATTATAACTAAAACGCCTACATGCTTCTCCAAAGAGAAACTCACTAAATCTTCATGTTTATATCAACCAAAAGATCAAGTCATAGTTGTTAATTGGAAAGCTACTTCTAAGTTAGTAAAGTTTATAGAAAATTATTTCTGAAGAGAATATGAGCCGGTGATAAAGAGATAGCCATCATATTTATGTGATGATAGTCCATAAACATGTTCCGCTAGTTTGTTTCAATGGATAATGGAAACCAAAGTAGACCTATCCGGAACCCTATATCATATCTTATTATGCTTTGTTTTCATAGACCTAACAACATTTGAAATAGGAAGTAGTGTTTCCAAGGTATGACGAAGTGCACTTTGTATTAAGTCTGTACACAGACCTAATCACGTCGTACAAAGACTCCCAAAAAAATATATCCACATTATTAGATACAATTTGCAGGTTCAATGTTCAACTTAGTTTACTAAATCTGTACTGGTACTGAGACTGCCACAGTCAGTAGTGAAGGAATGTTATTGTATGCAGGAGTAGAAGGTTCACAATGTTTATTTTTGATTCCAATAATAAGCTTGACAGGAGCGCACCGTGCAGACAGTGTGGTGCTGGCGAAATTGTTTTGAACACAATCAATGCAGTACATGTTACATACATTCAGTGTTAACTTAAATAGGTTCCCGAAACAGAAATCCTTTCCTAAACAGGTATTTAGAACTAACAGCTCTCATTGAACTATCAAGAGACATTTTTGTTTCGCCAATATTTAATATAGGTAATTTGGAGCAGCTCCTAATACATACCCTTGGGGACGTTCCGTATCGTTAGCACTCATTCTGTCGGCGCGTCGTTTCTTACAGGTGTTGCAGCTAAGAGTGGGCGCTCCCCCCTCCCAGACACCGCTCTTCCAAAACACCAGTCTACCCTCACTATCCATAAGGGGTCTGCATTTTTACCATAATCGACTCATTTTGCCAAAACTTCCTTATTTCATTCTTCGAAGCACCTTTTCTTTCTTTTGTTATTGAATAAACTTCAGAAGTTCATTGAATTATGTATGCTAATACCACTGCGGTCACATTTCTTGTCGTTTCTCTTTCAGTAAAAAACACCGACACAAACAAGACCGAAGCTTTGTTTATCGTGTAAACAGTCACCACGTTTCTATCTATAAAATGGGGTTACAGCACATGTGGTGTACAGTGTACACTAGATAGAGTTATCTTTTGAAATTGATCACTGTTTGGACATGAAAAACTTTAGTCCATTAAACTGGAGCTTTCATCGTTTCAGTCGGAGCCAAGTACACACCGCACTTCCCACAATTTACGTAACCGGACAAGTCTACGGCAATCATCCAAAAGCGATTAACAAGACTTTAGTCCCGAAATAAACACACACGTATCCTTTATGGGCTAAAACCGGCAAGGAAGCGGGCGACAACGCGTCTGTCCTCTGCGACAGCTTTTACGTGACTACTTTTGACGTTCGACAACAACCCGGCGTTCCAAGTTCAACAGATCTTGCACCGAGCGGTCAGACAACACTTTAGGTATAGAAATCTGGATTTTGCAGGAATCCGAGTAGCAATATTACAGTTAGCTGAGGATCAAACGTCTCTGCAAAGAGCCGCTCAAACGTTTCACAAAGGTTAAAAATTCAGGTTACGTACACATTACCCAGTCTTGTTTGTTGAATCCATATCCAACAAACGTTTCATTAGCAGTTTGTTATCATTTAATTTCTCCAAATGACGTATACGATACACGCTTGTGGAATATTTATTTTGAAATAACCCTGTATCCAGGAAGCTTTCATTTCTTTGGGTAGTTAGTTACCACTTTAAATTAGAACATAGTAGAAGATTCTTGGATACCTAAATATGGCTTTCATAACTTTTAAAACAATGATGTCGTGCGTGTCGCGTTTGGTCGTCGGGCCCGAGTCGGCCGGGTGGGCGGCTCTAGATAAATAAAACCGCGTGTTGGTCTGTCTATAAATAATACGCAGATCCTGCTCGTTCCATCGACACTGTGACCTTTTTATTGGTATACAGTTAACGTTGATTAGTCAGAATTACTGTAACGTACTTACTATTGTTATTATTAGTGTAATTCTCTCATCCGTCTTCCTCCTTTGCTCGCGCATGTTAATAGGATCCCACGTTAGTCTGTTGCTTTGTTAACGCACTGCTTAGGTTTTTACTAAGTTCTTGAACTTTGTTTGACCTGTTGTTATTTATCTGTAATTGCCTGCCTTTCCGACATCTGCTTTCTGACTGCTTTATGTATGCAAAAGCTACGCCAATGGGGTACCTGAATGTTGTCTATGTAGTAAATAAGGAAAAATATAATTATTCCGGATTGAAATATTCAATGTTCACGAAGAGTTTATATTTATTCCAAGATATCACCACGTACTGCTTACGTTTGACACATTTTAGTTTCCGTTTGTGATATTTTTGCGTCCGCAATTCATCGTGCAATGAACTGAGTGAAGACAGACTGAATGTCTACCGATACACAATGTCTGTGGCCATGAGTTTTATTAATTTAATGGCCTTCACAACTATGCGTTGCTTTATTCTAGTTAACGGTAATAAATTGATAGTGCTGTATTGCTTTACAATTTCAAGACAGATAGATGCGTCCTGGAATCTCCGCTAAAACTGAAATGCTTGTAAAAAGCACTCACTTTCTCGGTGAAACGAGACAGGTCACTCAAGATCGACGACCCAGAAACTGAACAAATAAAGCCGTTCATAATCCCGCTTTTCGATATACCCCCACGCGATCCGCCAACTATTCGCAGTTCGCACGTGAACCAGTTTTGCAAGAGTACCAGTAACATAAACGTTTTAATGCATTTGATGAATGGTTCGCTGCGCCTGCACTGTTTTCTTTTAGCTGAGCCGAAAATAAATATTGTGAATTTTATTCAAAACAATAACAAATAAATTACCGCTTGATAGCTTTAATATTTATGAACTTTCAAACATTTTTTCAGTACATTTCCTGTTTAACTATATTTATATAATTTTTTTGGAACACATTTTTTATTGCCTATACCTTTTTTAATTGTCTCAACTGAACTAACTATTTCAATATTAAAATACTTTCTTAGCAACGAATAAAGGTTCATAAATTTTTGGGGGCTAACAGCTACCGTAAATAACAATGGCCGGTAAACTAGGTTGTGAAGGCACCAATGGTGGTTGAGTCATTGCGTTCGACTTCCCTACCCAATAACAATACAAGCACTCATTAATAATGCAGAATACCTATGCGTAATCGGTAAAGTATCGAACGCCTGCACAGCGTACATGCAATGACGGAGGAAATTATTCCAAATAAACTAAGTACTTAGGTCTAAAATTCCCCGAGCTACTTCTAAGTGGACAATCTACGTAGTTTAATCAATTTCTATACTTGTTATACTAATATTATAATGGTGAAAAGTTTGTTTGTTTGTATGAACATGCTTATCCCCAGAATTGGGTACATGCTAATTAGTCAAATTCAATACTTTTTTCGAACTTTCAAAAACGACAGCTTTCTATGAATTTTGTACGAGATTGTGTATTGCGACGTCACGATTTTTTTAAAGACAAACAGAGTACTTATTTCTTAAAAATTTGCTATAAAAACACTAAAATGAATTTGATCATAAAGTCAATTAATGAAGGTGTGATTCATTTTTAATATTTGACTGTATTAAGCAGTCGAAAATTCGAAATAATTTATTTTTGAAGAAGGCAAGTACACAATTAGTTACTGGTTCGAATTCAGTTTCTGTCTTGAATAGTTCATTTATCGAGGAATGCTAAAACATCACGCTAAGCCCTTTAGAAGCCGAGTAACGGGTGAAACATGTAAATAGCATAATGGGATGATTATGCAAAATCAAACTGGTATTTGTCATTGCAATTAAATTACAACCTTATCATGAGGTGAATAAGTTTTACATAAATATTGAACATGTAATCAGTTAGATTGACTCATTCAATTAGAAATGAGCAATTCATAATTTTATAACAGATATTCATTAAATAACTAAACGATTACTATCTCCTACAAATATAATTAGTAGTTACAGCATGCAAGACCTATTTTACCATTAGCTGTGTTCTTGTGATGAGCCAATCAGGAAATTACAAAATTATTAAATACCTAACACAAAATATAAAAATCAAACTTAAAAAATGTAACAAAAACAACACAAGGGTTTTCTGCCTATGTATGTTAACGACCACGCGCCACATGGTACTTACCTGCTAACAAATTTATTTTATATTTTCTATATGATATTTAGATATCATATATATCCTACTATATCACTACCTACTTATTCCTAAGTAAGTACCTAATAATAAGAATTAATACATTTTGTATACAAGTATTCAAAAGTGGCCAGACTGTTTATTTTCCAACTTAAGTAAAGCTCACAGCATCGTCAAATGTGATTATTTCAATTACTAGTCGTTAGTCTGATTTCTAATCATGTTCTTGTTTAAACTTCTCGTGATTCTGCAGCTGTTATACCTGGTAATTCAAGCTAACTACTTTTTTATCTGACTGCCTCGATGACTTGGTGGTTGCATGTGCGACTGCCAGGCAAGGGGTCTCTCCGGCAAAGTACTACAGGGTTTCTAAAAAAAATCTTAGTAGTAGCACTGAGTTTGGAATTGTGCCTGGTATATGGCAATAGGCTCACCCCCTATAACATGTGTCTCATAACATAAATAGTGAAAAGTGGGTGTTACATTGTACAGTGGTATAATGTGCACCTCTGCCTACCCCTTATATTTTTATTATGATGTTATATATTATAACACAAGTTAGTTAACTCAAAAACTTTCTTAACAGCACATGTGTGTATATGTATTTAAGATCTCAAGAAAACAATTTTTTTACAAAACTAAAAAAAAATACTGTCGAATTGAGAACCTCCTCCTTTTTTTTTGAAGTCGATTGACAATAATAATATGATTCTGAAGCATTTCAAATAAAAAAAGTTGACTATCATACTGTTCTGTGGTTCTGTTTATAAAAGGTAAACATAATGGCATACCTTCTTATTAGACTTTTGACAAATAGTGTTGTCTGCGATTTAAAAATAACAAGAGCATACCAAAAATGCTGTTCTTTTTTTAAATGTTGACAGAAGTGGGTAAACAAGTTTAGTCAAAGTATAGTTTTTACGAATTATATGAAACGAAATTATAATACATAAAAGTATAGACATCTCTTTATTGCTCTAAATGTCTTATTGCAGTTTAATAAATAATTCTTGACACAATATATTTTTTACGAATGATCAAGAGCAATCAACGAAAAATATTGTTACAGGGATAACCACCGCAGCGTTGTTATATACTGATATTGTTGTTGTTAATTCATCAGGTAAATATAAAAATAATTGTATACAGAAAAGCATAGAAGTAATCTTACCTCTTCGACGACATTTCCGTCATTTTTGCTATATCACTTACTGAAATCAACAACTAGATACACAAAAGAAAACGTTCATTATACTTGTATTAGCATTTAACTATATTATTTTGCACATTTTTAACGAATCTGTGAAATATATAACCGATTTCTAAATACTTTTGTAAAGAAATAAATACGCAAGCACTGCACATGCACCGCTTTAATTTTTTTACTGCGACAACCACCCACAGATAAAATCTTGGTAGCTGTCAATTTCCTATGAACTATTCCATTCTATGCTATACGGCTAATAGTTCACATCACAATTATAAATTACAATTTCGAAACGACAAAAGTTTTACCTACTTTGTTTTACGAAATAATAAATAGTATAAAATACATTATTTTATTTGTGAAAATTACAAAAAAAAGAAATTAAATAATTGTTTTGTTCTTAAAATTATTAAAGAAACTGCATGTAACGGGATGACTTTTTTCTATTTCGTTGCTATGGTAATCCTGTTGATAACAAACGCATGGCCAATCAATGGCCGTTTACAAAATTCCTGTGTGTTTAGTATTCTGTCAAACTGTCATGTTGTAATGCAACCGCAAATGTGGGCTATTTATTGATCAAACCTTTATTGTTAATCGTCAGATAAATGTAAGAGTACATTGTGTGTTGTGGGCAAGCTCGAGCGAAATGTTCAAAAACACATTTCAGTCCGGTTTCCTTTCCATTCTTTACAGTATAGGCAGCAAACCTTTGCAAATTTGGGACAAAAAGGTGCGAAATGGGCACATAAAAAGAATCACGGATAACGACATCCAAAGTCTAGTGCTGGAAATAGTTGGTACCAATGTTAGCACGACGTATATTACATGTCCTGCTGATCCTAAAAAGACGCTTGGTATCAAGCTGCCTTTTCTGGTTATGATAATAAAGAATCTGAAGAAGTACTTCACATTCGAAGTTCAGGTGAGCAAACTTTGTTTAACTATGATTGAATATGCCACTTGTCATTTACCAATTAGAAAAACAAGCAACTTGTAAGAAAGTTGTAAACACTCTAACCTCAAACTTTTGTTTACAGGTGTTGGACGATAAGAATGTACGAAGAAGATTCAGAGCAAGTAATTACCAGTCCACAACTCGGGTGAAGCCATTCATTTGTACAATGCCCATGCGTCTTGATGAAGGTTGGAATCAAATCCAGTTCAATCTCGCAGACTTTACTCGAAGAGCTTATGGAACAAATTATGTAGAAACTCTCCGAGTACAAATACACGCAAACTGCCGTATTAGAAGAGTATACTTCTCTGATAGACTGTACTCAGAAGATGAACTTCCAGCAGAATTTAAACTATTCCTACCAATACAAAATAAGACCAAAAATGCTGTGGCAACTTAAAATTGTTAAGTGTGAAGATACAAACTTGTAATGTCTTTATCTTAGTAAATGTATTTATAAGTTTATTTGTTTTATAATATTTAATTGTACAACTACATCCCCGTTTTTATAATAATATGTTACTCTATTTTATGTTGGCATAAATAAATAATTTAATAAATGCACCCACAGTTGCATGAAGTTTTTGTCAAAAATTAGGTACAGCTTTTCTAATTATAATGAATCAGTCAATTAAATGTGAGGGTATAAATTCAAAGATTCAACCTGATCAATAATTATTGTTCTCTTGTTACTTTTAAACTTGTTAATTTAAATAGTTTGGAAAACTTTTGAACTAATTGGATGACAGATAGTTTACCATAGTAACATCACTCTTTTTTACATTTGTTTTGGTGTTGAATGTATTTTAAATTAAAGGCATGGTATATATATAATATTAGACTGTATTATACCCAATAGACCATGATTATAGGTAATTACAACTTGGCAAAAAAGAGTTTGGACTATTAATTTATTGAAGTCGGTGTCTCTCTAGTATCGTGCGTGTTCTCGGTTTCGATATTTGCTATTCTTTTCAAGTTTAAAAAGAGGAGGTAACTATGTTCGGATAATTGTTTATTCATGGAATTTGGTCCGTAGTGGATGATTCAGTCCAAATCAATATTAGTTCTCGCTGTCACCGCGTCAAACTCTATCTTACCAAACTGTACTTATAAATCCTCAACTAAAGTAAATCATTGGTAAGTATTTGGTACTTATCTATATTTACTACAGAATAGGCTCTTTCAATTGATGCACTTTATTTCCAGACAGCATGAGTTATAACTAAGGTTGGTTTAGTAGCCCAGTGGTAATATCGTACGACTGTGCGAGCTTTCTGGCTATGCGCTTTGCCTGCAAGTAAATTAAATAAGTGTAATAAAAATACATCTAGTTTTATCAATCAAGTCAAGGTTATCAAGTGTGGAATAAGAATGAGAAATAACCGGAATAACTGAATAAATAAATAATAAGAGATAGTTCATCTAAAAATATTAGTTTTTTTAAATTCACAATCCTGAAGTCGTCGCGTCACTAACTAAACGTCAAGTTGAGAGATAAAAAATCAAAATGAACACATCACTATTTATCGAAAAATGGCGTTGATAAGTGTCGGTAGATTATTTTTACCATTAATTTTATTAGAAATATGTGTGAAATGCTACGCAAACGATATTTTAGGATGTGGTGGATTTGTTAAAAGTCATGTTTCTTTAGATTTTTCTAAAATAGAGATTGGACTGTAAGTTAACCTAAAAGTTATTACTAATTTAATTTGTAGACTCTGTACTTACTACTTAATGGCTTGAATTTGTGTCAAACTCTGTGAAATAAAAGTATAAAACGTTACCATAAAGTGAAATACTGTATCATTTGTTTTTCATACATAAATTGGTTATTACCAGGTACACCAAAGAGGGCAGTTTGAAAGAGAAGACTGAATGTGCTCCTACCAATGGATATTACTTTTTACCTCTTTATGAGAAAGGGGAGTATGTGTTAAAGGTTCACCCTCCAGCTGGATGGAGTTTTGAGCCGTCTGAAGTGAACTTGTCAGTTGATGGGACCACAGACCGTTGTTCTGCTGGGCAAGACATTAACTTTGCTTTCAATGGTTTTGGTATAACGGGCCGGGTGATCACTGCTGGACAGAAGCAGGGTCCTAGTGGCATAGCTGTGCAGTTGATAAATGATAAAGGTGATGTGCGGAATACTGTGACAACAGTCGGTGGTGACTTTTATTTCACCCCTGTAATACCAGGAAAATATAATGTAAAGGCTTCCCACCCTAAGTAAGTACTAAGTATTACTGTTATAGTGTTAGTATTTTAAATAATAAAATTAAGTTATCTGAAATACTTGTTGAATAGTAAAGAAATATCAATAAAAAGTTACAATAATTACTATATTAACTATAATTACTTATCTATTTACAGGTGGAAATTAGAACCCAGTCAAGCAGTAGTGCAAGTGAAAGAAGGTAACACTGCATTACCTGTTGGTGTGCTTGCAGTCAAGGGTTATGACGTGTCAGGTTCCGTCACATCATTCGGCAGCCCTATTCGAGGCTTGTATGTGCTTCTGTACTCCAAGGAGGTCAGTTTCAGTACAGATAAAAAAAAATCTGAATGCACATCAACATAAAAGTAACAATTCAATGTGTTCTAGGAAAGCCCTAAGTTCCGAGTGGAAGGCTGCAACACAGCTCTTCTTCAAGGCGTACCTGATTCTCCGATCTGCCATACCATTACTGATGCTAATGGAGAGTTTAGTTTTGGTCTGGTCCCTGCAGGAGAATATAAACTCCTTGCATTACCTACAGCACCTGGTCAGGTGGCCATCAGCTACAATGTGAAACCGGAATCAGTTCCCTTTACTGTCAGACATGACAGTCTATTTATCAAGAATGCCTTTGAGGTGAGTTTTTATCATAGATAACTTAATTTACTAGTACAGATCTCTTATCTTTTCAGGTTATCTTTAGTAAACAGGCTTCTATGTGCTTTTAGACATTAAATATTACCAAGTAATATTTTCTTCAACGGTTAAGATGGTAAACAAGCAGACGGATTACCTGATTGTAAGCAATCGGCATTTCCCATGGACACCTGGAACACTAGATGCGTTTCAAGTGCCTTCCCACCATTTTAGGGATTAGGAATTTAAGGATTGTTGAGTGTTCAGAGATTGGGGATATTGGAGAGGGGGGTAAATGGGCCTCCAGTAACCTTACATGACAAATTACAATGCCAGTGTTTTTTCACATCGGATTTGTGCTCGGCCATGGTCACGCCGGCCCATTAGTGCCAAAGTGTTGTTCTCCCATCCTTGTAGTACTGAATGATAAACAAACATAATATTTTATTTTTCAGGTAACAGGTTTCACAATTGTAGGGAGTGTAGTGAAGTCAGTAGGAGGTCCAGGTCTGTCTGGTGCCCGTGTCTTGTTGGATGGCAAGGCTATCGGCAGCACTGATGGCACTGGCAAGTTTACACTGCCTAACTTGCAGCCATCTACTTATACTTTGACATTTGAACATGGTAAGATTTTCACTTATTATTTTTAAACAATATAGAATAATGAAAAAGAAATAGTTGGTATTTCTTTAACTCTACTTATTCCTCTGTGGTGTAATGAAATACATTATTTGAGTTTTACTTAGCTGTTTATCTTAATGTAATTAGTAATTTAAATTGAAGTCATTTATTTGTAATCTAACAATAATTTAAAGTCTAGTTATTATCAGCATAATACCATATAAGTACATCTCTTAAATCATTGGACTAATAAATATAAATTTATCTGCAGAACAATGTGAGTTGGACGAGGTACAACTAGTAGTGTCTCCGACGGGCCCGGCGGGCGGGCCGCAGGCGCGCGTGTCTCGATGGCGCGTGTGTGGCGCGGTGACGCCGGCCAGCGCGCGGCCCGTGTTGCTGGCGCGGCCGGGGGCCGAGCCCCTGCGGATCCCCTCCGACACACAGTCGGGCTCCTGGTGCACCTTCCTACCTCCAGGTCTCTACAACGCCAGGGTCGACGTTTCTGATCAGGAGCAGAGGGATGGACTACAGTAAGTTTTCTTACTTGGTAACAATTTTACTTAAATTGATATAATTAGTTTGCTTGTACTTCTATTCATTTATTTCAAAAACAATTTACATTGCAGGATAGAAGACTCTAATAATAGTTGTTGTGTTGTTCAATCAATTTTGATACAATAATAAAACTTAGTTTAAGACTTAATTAAGATTTAAAACACGGATTATCATCTAAAACAGGTATTACCCACTGAGCCAGAAGGTGTCAGTGGGCAATGGGCCGGTGTCAGGCGTGACGTTCTCTCAGCTGAAAGGCAAGCTGAGCGGGCGCGTCCAGTGCAAGCAGGCCGCGGCCTGCGCAGACATACCTGTCACGCTGCGACCTCTGTCCGCTGACGGCGGCTATGTTGGACAACCCATGACTACTGTTGCTAAAGGTCAACTATTTTCCTTTCAAGGAAACTTACGCTAGTGTTAGATGCAGCCATAATTCATATTGTATGATTTTGCTGGTTTTACATCCCATAAAGAGTATATTTTAATTCAAATCAGTTATTCTGGAGATTTGCATGTTCAACTAAACAAACTATTTAGCTTTATAATATTTTTATACACAAAAATTAAATCAGTTTGTTAAATATTCTTTAAAAGAATAACAACATTGTCAATTATAACATTACTCCAATTTTCCAGATGGCAAATACACATTTGAGGAAGTCCTCCCTGGCAGTGTGGAGATCTCAGTGGGAAGCGACGTGCTATGCTGGGCCGAGTCCAGGCACAACGTGGCCGTCACACAGGACCATACCAACGTGCCCACGTTTGAACATACTGGATATGTATTGCGGATACATTCTACACATGAAGTTGAGGTATGGACAATGTTGTTATTTGTAAATTATAACATTCAGACTTTTTGTTCCACCCACAATAAAATCATAAATCGGAGTCTCGAAAATAAATTGAACTGCTTCCTAAAGTGCCAGATTCTTACTTGACTTGGCTACTGAGAATTCTATAATTCTATGATTCATATGATATTGTGAACACAAACATACTTCATGCTTAAAAAAGGATAAATTAAATTATTCTGTCTCACTATTCCTTACAACTTCAATGATTTTTTATTATATGTAAGTACAGATACAGACGACAGATTGAAATCTTACACAACAATCTTAATTATAAATAGTGAGTGAATCTGAAGTCCAATTACAGCTGTACATAACCTACTTATGTCAAATTACTTTAACAATTCTCAAATGTTATTTCATTTTTCTGCACTAAATTATGTCCAATTTATGAAAACTAGGAATTGCTAAAAAGCGACCATACAAGTAATCAAAAGGTACAAAGGGAACAATTGAATAAGTGTACAACAAACCTGAAGCAATGGCGCAACGACACATATCATGCTCATTAAGTTTCACTGGATTGGATAAGGAAATTGGGTGGTATAGTAAATGCGTCCTCCTATTTATCCTCTAGTAGTAATAATGATGATTTAATAGTGCCATTGGAGAGGCTTATGTCCAGCAGTAGACGAAAACAGGCTGTTGATGAATGATGATGAATGAATGAATGAATAATAATGAGACACACCTCTCCCCCCAGGTAGAATACAGCGGGCCGACGTCGTCGGGCATGTTCGTAGTGCCGTCGGGCCCCAGCCAGCAGTGCGTGCCGGCGGCCGAGCAGTACACGCTCACCCCGCGCGGCTGCCACCGCTTCCAGCCCGCGCAGGCGCTGGCTGATACTTCTACACTACTACCTACCGTGAGTGTTGGGCATTACAAGACCCATTGCCCAAGTCGCACTTGCGACCACTCGGCCAATGAGGCAGTCAATATTTACAGACATTATTTTATTTTGTACATTTCCTTGATCATGTGCTTCTGTTCCGTACAGACGGTGTACCTGGTGGCGACGGCGCACGCAGTAGTGATCCGCGTGGCGTCGCCCGTGGCCGTGGACGACTTGGTGCTGCACGTGGTGACGGACGGCGCGCCGCCCAAGGACGTCGGCCCGCTGCCTGCGCTGGCGCAGCCCGGCGGGGGGTACATGTATGAACACACCCTGTATATGGCTGACGTGAGTAAAATACCAATTTTATTTTAATTATTTATCACTAACTTTGCAGAAACAGTACTTTAAATTCCCGTTTTTGGTTTAATTTATTAAAATAAAATATTCATTTTGGAATGAGCTTCACTTCAGTCATTTTAAAAGTTTCTATATGCATTCTAGTTGGAATAATTACTTTGATTTTCAATTTTAGCTTTTTTGTAGTGTGTTAGTTCTGGGCTTGCATAGCTCATTTTTTTCTTTAATTTTAGATTTTTATACTAGGATTTATTCTTGTGTCATGGGTGCGGTTATAAACGCATAACACCTAGACACCAAAGAATCATTTGTGGATCACACAAAGAGTTGTTTCGTATGGGAATCGAGTCGAACACGCTACATTTTGCCGCCGAGATATGGTTGCCCCGTTACCGCGCCAACTGCGCAGTGGTAATGATAATGTATGATAGTGACGAGTGCGTGTGCAGGGCGAGGTGTCGCTGGTGTCGGCGGCGTCTGTGGGCGTGCTGTGCGGCGCGCCGCAGGCCGTGGCGGGGCGCGCGCGCTGCCAGCCGCACGCGCTCACGCTGCAGGCGCGGCCCGCGCTCACCCTGCAGGGCGCCACCGCGCCGCCAGTGCCCGGCGTCACCGTCACACTCGAGTCTGGTACGTACTTCTACTGCTTTTTTTTTAAGGCGGGAAAAATCATCGAATGACTTCTGCCGCCCGGGTGAGGCGGGAGGGAGTGTCAGACTCTTACTGACTAAAAACCACCCCGTTCCTTCTCCTGCACGTCGAGCCGGAGCCCCGGTTACCCGTTAGATTCTTCGCGATTCCGAACTTCTACTGCTTAACCTTAGATTTTAACTTGTACTATTCGCTCATTTACTGACTAATTTACACCTACCAATGTAGGTGTCATAACATAGAATTATTACAAAAACTACATGACCCGGCAAACTATGTTCCGCCTAAAATTTTTTTCTTTCTTTTTAACCTTCCCTGGACTTCACGAATATTTCAAAACCAAAATTATCCAAATCAGTTCAGCCGTTCTCAAATTTTCGGAGACCAACGAAGAGAAATTCATTTTTATTAATCTTAATTTATCTAAATATAGATTATTACACAAGCAAAACTAGTATTACAATTCATTAATTAAAATTACTATGATCATATCATATATATGATGATCATATATATGATTCATTAATTAATATTTCGATAATTCAGCATTGTTTTACTTAGTTTTCAATGTATAATGATTATTCCATAGTTCAAAAAGTAAAACTTTCCGTCTTATATAACTATGACTTCTCAAGGAATCATAAAAATAAAGGAACTGAAAATATATGTTGTTCACGTATTTATAACACAAATTCTTCACCATCATACTAGACTATTCACATCAAATTACCCGGCACCACAAAATCTATCAAGGGATAATTTATATTAGCAAACAATTTCTTACATTTCAGACGACTTAAAACTAACCCAAGTGACTTCAGAAGACGGCAAGTACCACTTCGGTCCATTGGACGCTGCCAAAAAGTATAAGATTACGGCTGAAAAGGATTCGTATGTGTTCAGTGAACCTGATGAGAATGGTATCATTGTCGCTCAGAAGTTGGCTGAAATAACGGTGGAGTTATTGGATGATGCTGATGGGACGCCACTGCAGGTAAGATAAGCTTAAAAACAGAATTTTAAGTAAAACTTACATTAAGTAAAATCGCGAGTTACTCACGTGAATATACTGAGAAAAGCTCAACTAGTTTGGAACCACAGAGGGGTTCTTCTTCATGAGCAGCGTGTGCGGTCGCGGCGACGTCGCGCAGCTCACTTTATTCTCATGTTACTCACAGCATCACGTGAGTAACCCGCGATTTTAGTTAATTTAGTGTCTCACGATAGTTATTATAAAAACATAATACTTACATGTAATAAGACGGTGAACCTTTCACATGAAGCCAAGTAAAATTCCATTTTCCAAGTGAAGAGATATGTTCTACAAGTTTTTATAATGTTGATAGTAGTTTTTCTAGCCCATCTCAATCTGGGTTCGAAATAGCGGTGAACAAATGTCATAATTTATGAAATTAAGTCAGTTTCATGTATACAAAAGGATTATATACCACTTGAAGAAGCCCTAATTGTTAGTGAATGAATACAAATTCTATTAGTGTAGCAGTAAGAGAGAAATGGGCTGATAATTATAAATACACGGCATCTTAGTGAGATAGTAGCTAAAAATGCTATTTGTTTTGTTACAGGGTGCGTTAGTATCGGTTAGTGGAGGCTCGTACCGTCGCAACGTGGGCAGTGGAGCTGACGGCCGGCTGAGGTTCTCGTCGCTGTGGCCGGCGCAGTACTACGTGAAACCAAACATGAAGGAGTACCGGTTCCAACCGCCACACCATATCATCACGCTCGCACAGGGACAGGCTCATCACATCACGCTCAGGTGATCCATTAATTTATAGTACAGGTTTACATGTTATTGTGATAAATTTCTCTGAGGTATGGCAAATGTTGCCATACTTCAGAGGAATTCTCGTAACTTCTCTGGTGTTCATGGGCGACACTAATTGCTTACCAATGTGCTAGTTCAATCTTTCCTTAATCCAACTTATGAAAAATAATTTTTTTGACTGTTCAATACAATAAAATATTAAAAAATAATCACACTTTCATTAATTAATTTTATGACCAACTTGATTTCAGTATTTTCCAGCAAATATTTAAGAAATAAGTACGCCTTTTGACATTTAAAAAAAACGTGACGTCACAATTCACAATCTCGTACAAAGTTCATAGAATACTGTCGTTTTTGACAGCTCGAAAAAAGTATTGAATTTGACTATGTCAAAAGTATTGTATGTGACTGTGTTTTATGTACCATTTAATATACTATTTTGTGACAAAAGATGTTGTTACCTAACATTGTTTTCTATCGTTTCATATAACAGAGGCGTACGCGTAGCATGGTCGTGCGTTGGTGCTTTAGTATCGCTGGGCGGCGCGGGCTGGCCCGGCGCTACCCTGCTGGCTGTACCCAAGGACTCTCCACCACACTGCGCCACTGAGGAAGCCACTACTGAAGCTAGTGGAGCGTTCAGGTTAGTCATCCCCTAACTCTATTAATAATGTTTAATAACAATATTGTAGTATAATGTTTTTATTATAACTATCGTGAGACAAACTAAATTAACTAAAATCACGGGTTACTCACGTGAATATACTGAGAAAAGCTCTACTAGTTTCGAACCACAGAGGGGTTCTTCCTCATGAGCTTTTCTCAGTATATTCACGTGAGTAACGCGTGATTTTAGTTAATTTGTAGTATAATATATGTATGTTTATAACAATATTGTTTCTCATTAGGATCCGAGGTCTGCTACCAAATTGCGTTTACAATATCCAGCTGAAGGAATCAACTGCTCCAGAGCTGTTAGGACTTAAATTGGCTAAGGCTCCTCCAGTACTAGAGGTAAGATCATTCCGACCCTTAATATTATGAGTGATATTTAATTAAAATTCATGAGTTCCGATATTTTTTTATGACTGACTCTGTCAACCTCTTCGTCATAACATAACATCATAACGCCTTTTATTCCCGAAGAAGTAGGCAGAGGTTCACATTACGGCACTTAATGCCACTATACAATGTAACACTCACTTTTCACTATTTATGTCATGAGTCCCATGTAACAGGGGGTGAGCCTATTGCCATATACCGGGCACATTTCCAGACTCTGTGCGAGACTGAGATTTTTAAAAATCCAGTATTACTTTGCCCGACCCGGGAATCGAACCCGAGACCCCTTGCCCGGCCAGTCGCTCTTGCGACCATTCGGCTAACGAGGCAGTTAACCTCTTCGTCACTGATCTATTAATAATTTATTACAGGTGAAAGATAATAAGGACATAGAAAACGTGCGCCTAATAGGTATCCAGCCTCGACAAGTCACAGACGGCAGCGTGATGGTATATACAAGTAATCCCGCGCACTACCGCGCCCTGCGACTTTACCTGACTGCGGACAGTTCACAAGCTGCATTGTACTCTGCTCGCCTCGAACCAGGCCCTGGACCTCATAACCCAGGCCTTATGCACGTCTTGCCTCGTTTACCTGCAGATAACCTCACTTATGTACTGAGACTACAGTGCTCGCTCTCCAAGGCTACCCATTCCTATGAAGAACCTGTATACTACTTCGTCTCGGATGGCCAGTACAAACACTTCACTATCGAGTTTGAGCCTAAGGTAAATTACTTGATTTTTATTACTTACATACATATTATGGAAGTCACTGGGACCTATGTTCAGCAGTGGATGTCTTTTATCTTATACTATTATATAAAGCGGAAAAGTTTGTTTTTTTGTTTGTTTGTTTAAACGCGCTAATCTCCGTAACTACAAGTCTGATTTGAATAATTCTTTTTGTGTTGGATAGTGCATTTATCGAAGATGGCTATAGGCTATAAAACATCACGCTACGATCATTAGGATCTGAGCAGAGCGTGTGAAACCGCACGGAAATAGATAGTTTGATATAAACATGACGATGATACATAAACTTACAAATCGTCACGCCTGTCACCCATATAGGTAGTCAGAGAAAGCTACGTGACACTTTTTTGGAATACTTCTTTGGCTTCATTGATTCGATTTCTACTTTTTGTTAAAGTCACATTTGTCTGTTCACATGTCCAAAAGTCTTGTCGATGCTCGATGCGATTTAAAAAAATTCTATTCATTGAATCAGAAAAGTTACAACAAGTATTTATTTTGCAGGTGAAGTCTAGCGAGCAAGAAGTCCGACAGACGTCCCTATTGGTGTTGCCGTTGCTGGTATTGTTAGGTCTAGCGTGGCGATACCGCGACCGGCTACTGGAGTCACTGGCAGCCGCAGTGGCGAAGGCAGCCCGCCCAACCCGGGCCCCGCGCCCAGAACGGGGCCCCGACACACTGGACCGCGCCAGCATCGACCAGATCGTGTCAGCGCTGAACCCACCACCAAAAAAACCCAAGAAAAAACAACTTTAGGGTTTATCATTAACAGAACAGTCAAAACTGTGAGAAATAATAATAATTAAGTAATTTTTACACCAATGCAAAGAATTAATGAAGTGATTTTTTAATCCCAATTTTATTTTCAAATGTGATGACGACGGTAATGTACGTAGGTTAAACACCGTGAAATTACAACCAATGCAAATAATTGTCAAAGTGAGTATTGAGTTCCCATTTTATTTAAAAACGTGATTATAGATTCTTTATACCATATTTTAAACAAGTGAGCTATCAATAAATATCCATTTAAAAATAAGATCGCGTGCTAATCCCCTCAAATTACATTTACAAATATAAGCGACTGTGTAGTAGCAATATTATATAAAAACTCCACACACGTTTACAATCGAACAAATATGTTAAGTAAAGAATATATCAAATTAAATAAGTTTCAAATCAAATATTAATAATGCGTTATGTTCACCGAAAATGGTACTGTCATGATGATCCGAATTATCAAAAAGGACTTATGAATTTTATGTGTATGAAACTAATGCGCGATGCCTTATTGACTGCTACATCCTTCTCAAATTGACATAAGACTGCATTTCGTGTGGCAACATGTATCTTGTATTTGATTCTGTTATAATAAATCACTTAATACTTATCTAAGAGTTGGATCTCCTGTTCTTACCTAAATGAAATAATTGTGAACCTCAGTATTTAATTGTGCTCTTAGATATATTATTATTGATTTATTGAAACGGAGGAATGTTTTAAACTATGTTTTATTAGCTTTTGCCCGCGTTTTTTTAACTATATCATCATGTATGCGAAAAAAGTAAGGTGATATCAAACAATACAGACTACATATTTGTTATTATTCTTGAGATTTAGTGCATAGGCGGAAGTCCCGTAACGCCGGACGGGACCTAACGCCGGACACTTGTATTACCTCGATAACTGATAACACGAGCGATTCAATTTTTACTAAAAACTTAGGTGTTTGCCACTGGGCGACTTAACCCTAAAAATTTAATCGCTCGCGTTATTAGTTATCGAGATAATACAAGTGTCCGGCGTTATGTGCCGTCCGGCGTTAAGGGACTTCCCCCTACGACTGAGCCATTTTAGTCCAGTGAGCACCTTTGGTGATTGGTATTGCAGATATCCATAAGCGGTGCGAATTGCTTACCATCAGGTGATCAGTCTGCTCGTTTCACAAAAAGTACGGAGTAAAAATGTCGATGCAGTTTTATATTCCAATTAATTCATATCATTTGATCAGTAACATTATTTAATAATTTATCTTTGGTTAAGGTGCAGTGAGTGAATAAGTATAATTTATATTTTGTTGTGCATTGTTTAAAATATTTTAGATGCATTTATGTGATGTATGTTCTGTTGGTCGGGATAAATAAAAGGATTGTTTGTTTCGAAGAGAATTTTAATTTCATTGGGTCTATATATATAATAGCAGTTACTTTAAGTTTTAAACCACTGAATCCAGTTTGATGCGTTGCTATTTTGAATTAAGGTACTTTAATGCGTTGCCCTTTCCAATTTTCCATACTTCGGCAGGCGTTTACTGCATTACTTGGTGATTTATTCATAACAATCTCCAAATCGTTCATTACAGTCTGCGATGGATCTTGCCTGGTGGTCCCATAGCTTGGCATTCTCTTTGCTGTAACAAATAAAATGAGTTAATTGACTGGAGTTTGGTGTACCCCACTTAATATTGAATGAACATATAGTTTTTGCATTTTTCAGCTACTGTTAATTTAAAATTCTTAAGTTACACTTCCTATAGTTACCCGAATCGTAGGTTGAGGTCTAATGATCATGTCTTTACGTGTTACGTCACCATTTCTAAATTAACTTTCCATAAATATGTGTTGCCATAGTCAACAACTTTCTAATAAAATGTAACTTACTTGACGAAGTATAGTTGGAAGGCAGCAAAGAAGTTCCTTTGTGATCTCGCGTGTAGTTTACATAGCGCTAGTTTTTCACACTCGTCCGCTCTGTAACAATGATATAAATATAGTATATAGTAAATGCTGACTGATAACTTCTAAACAAAAATTACTTACTATCTGTTCTTGGAAATGGTATGTATCTTATAACTAGCTACTTCCGCGGTTGCACCCGCTTTGCTCAGCTCCTATTTACCGTAGCATGATGTTTTGTAGCCTATAGCCTTCCTCGATAAATGTACAATCCAACACAAAAAGAATTATTGAATTCGGACCAGTAGTTCCGGAGATTAGCGCGTTCAAACAAACAAACTCTTCAGCTTTATATAGTAAGTACATATAAGAAGTATAAGATAGAAAAAGTCTTATAAAAATGAGCTAGCAAACAAATAGTAGCCCAAACGCTGACTTAGATATAGTTTCTTTGTCTAAAGGATAAATCCAGTTTTGCATTTGGTTTTAACTTGTAGTTCCAAAGTAGTGAGAATGTACTTACTGTCTCTTAGTCCTCATCTTGGTGACAGAACTGTCTCCGTTGCCTCCAAGCGCAAACATGGGGTTCACGAACCTCCGACTCACATGATGTTGCACCGCGTTTGAGTCATCATCTTCAACAAAAATACAATGAGATTCAGTTTTATATAAATTCAGTATTTTAAGAATTAGAAACATAGTGTGATGTTTTTTAAGTTAGGAAACGGGGAAGATCCTCCGACCAGGCCAGGTGGTTATACCTGGCGACTACTCTTTTAGATAGGCAACATCACACCATTATCTCTAAACTATTGTTAAAAAAATTACCAGTCTTTTCTTGTAAATCCAAGGGCTGGCACAAAACCGTACAGAATAGAGCCACCAACACAAATAAAGCGATCCTCAGCATTTTGACCACAATTGACCGATGGTCTTTAAGCTGCTTTTACCAAATTCTGACTGATGCATTTTCGGTGCTCCCGACCCCTATATATTGTGAGCATCGACCGCCATTGACGCGTATCGCAACTATAATGGGAATTATAAATAATACCGGCTTAATGCGGTGTTAAGTAGATGAAACTATTTGCTTAAACAAATCGTGAAGGGTTCTGTTCTATGCGGATTACAGAAAAACTGTACAAGAAGTCACGTTTGCATAGTGTGTGTTCTTTGAACGATCTATTATAAGCATTGTCGAGAGGGAAATAAAGCGTCTTCGTGAAGCAAGGGTCAGCAATTCTTAAACATTTTATACTTACAACGGAGGTGCTTATTATATGTAGTTACAGTTGCCATTCTCCTATGTATCTATCTACGTTTTGTTATAATTAATTCCTTATTTCTTTTCCTTTGCATACTTTACGGTAACAAGCAGCTCTGTATCAGTATGATCTGATATTTATTTTATACGCAGTAGGGTAGGTGTCTCAGTAATGTAGTACCACTAGAGTAGTGTTTAGTAGTTTTGGTATGTTTCTGCTTGTGACAAAATTGGCCTAAGCTCTTTAGGTGTATGTCGAACAAGCCAACAGATTATGAAGGGATGACATTTTCTGCTTATAACTGATGGGACGGATCATTTTCGGTTTGATGTCCACGTATGTGGTGAGAAGTGATTCAATTGATTTGCCAAAGTTCGTAAATCAGTAACATCGTATATCTAATGTTATTAACTTGCGATGTGTTGGCAAACAATTTACCTTTATGCTCGGCAAAGCTAAATTGTAGCTTAACAGTATTAGGAAGTATCTTCTTAGAAGTAGCTAGGTAGAAATAATGTTTTGGGCGCATAGAGTGGGGAATCTAGGCGCCCACCTAATGACGTCAAGGATGACGGCGGCACAGTGGTCACGTGCCGCCGTGCAGTGCACAGAGATGCTCTAGGAGAGACACATAGGTCTCCATAGGGAGGTGCCGTAACAGGCGTTGCACTATGAGGGCACCGGAGTTGGTCTACTAAGAGGACCCGGTGCCCCCTTCAAGTGCGGATGGTGGCCACCGGGGAGGTTTTAGTGAGGTAAGAATCCCACACTCCCTAGTCTTTTTCCCCAAAAAGCTAGGCGCCTTTGGAAGGTTTCCCCCCGTCAACAAAAAAAAAAAAAGGTAGAAATAATGTTCACAGAAATTTACAACATGCTGCTATAAGGCGAGACCACAGAAATTATCTATGGGCGAGACTATTCTGATAAACCAGGGGGTAATGCAATCGCTACCACCTAATCCATAGCTAACTAGCTGCATGTATAGATGTATACGGAACCCGCATTTCATGGAACCGCAATTTATAATCTTAATTTAATAATAACTAGAGACTCACGAGGTGGCAGTGGCATGTAACATGTGCTTGTACCTAACATTATCTTTTTGTGCACTTCGGAGTCTGGAACTGTACCCAGGGTATAGTACTTCCTAAGTTCCTATTAAGTTAAATAATAAACCTTTTGAACGTTAAACTAAAATATGTCTGAGTGTCGGGTTGCTCTTTTCATAAAACTATTTTCTCGTTTTTCCTATGCATTTCTGTGTTCTCAATTATTACATCAAATAACTTCTATGTGTATGTCTAACTCTTCATGGATTAATATTGCATAACTTCACCGCATCCAATCTCCGTGAGGGAGACAGAGGTGTACTATCTGCCTATTTACCACCATACATATTTCATCTCTTAATGTTAAGGGTCCATTGAAATAAGGATACCATTATTTCTTTTTTTATGGGTTTAAGCCAGTGGACGACCAGACGGATCACCTGATAAGCTGTAAGCGGTAAGCTATCGGCGTCGCCCATGGACACCTGGAACATCAGAGGCGTTACAAATGCGTTACCGGCCTATTTGAGTAAGGAATTTGAGGATTGTTGACTTGTTTCACGTCGGTCTTCTGTGAGGTCTTGGTGTCACTCCGGTCGAGCCGGCCCATTCGTGCCGAAGCATGGCTCTCCCACACTTATACTTCGAAGTTTCCTCCCAAAAAATCAGAAAGCATTTCTACATAGAAATATCTAGGTGCCAAATAGCTCTAATTTTTGGTAATTTAACAAATAGATTTAGCTTGACGTCAATTCTTTCAGCACCATTAGTTTGTTGAGTGGTGTTTGTAGAGGCAATCAGCATCTTGTTATAGCGTGTGTGCTTGAGGTAAACTGAACAAATGACTTGTAATAACAGATCAGTTTCCTCAGTCAATGCAGCTCAACTAGGAAATAAGTTAATTCTACTGCTGAAATAGGTTCGTGTTCATTTTTGTTCATACCTTTTACAAAAATGGCTTGTTTCTTTTGTGGTCTCAAACTGAAAGGGTTTTTATAAATTAAGCGATAAATTAGCTGTTGCCTGCGATTTCGTCCGCGTAGAATATGAATATTAGAACAAACTTGTTTTTGTTTTAATTTTTTTTTAAATAAAAGTTGACTGTTAGTGTTACTCCTTAGTACATCAGCTACCTGCCAATGAAAATCGGTTCAGCTTTTCCAGAGATTAGCCACTACAAACATACAGATAAAAATGTTATTTTGGTATGTGTATCATATACATGTAGTAGGTAAAAAGCGGTTATTTTAATATTACAAACAGACACTAATTTTATTTATCTGTTTTATTAGGAATGTATTTTTGGCTTACTCACGGAATAATTTGACGAGGAACTCGACTAGTTTCACACCTTCTTAGGGGCTCATATTCGTCATATTAGGGTTTTTATAAGTTATCGATTATTTACTTAGTACTAAAATGGTTTGCCCTAATCTCCATAATTAGCAAGCGGGTTGGAGGTCCTAATTCAAAAGGTTCCAGTCTACGTCGAGAACGTTCTAGAGCGCGTTGTTGTCCCTTTCCCTTATTCGGTGTTTTGCGTTACCAGGACAATGCTTATTTAGGTAGGTACATACATGATACCTTTACAGATTGGGCTGCCGTCGGGCCCAGAGGGAGAACCCACCCACTTCTTTCCCCGACGTGTAACATCTCCCTCGCCCTCCATCTTACCGGCGCAATGCTAGAGATAGGTGGTAGTTTGGGGATCAGTGGGGTCCTACCACAACAATCCATGATGATTACGATTTCGTCACTGGACGCAGGCATCTCTAAGTGCAAAAATACATACATACATGATACCTTTACAGATTATTCAATCCCACGATGCTTCCTCTTTAATGTTGTTGTTATGATAGTTATTTACGTTTATTAGAGATAGTTTTGTCTAAATGTATTAGCCTGTAAGTTTAATTAATGTTCTATATGCTTAATATGTTCTTTTGTTTTTCTTTGTATAAGTTATTTTAGTGTGTAGGTAATAAGTAGTTAATATTGATGAAGATTATAGTACTTTTTACGTTTACTTATAATGTGTAACTATTGTATTAGGTGTGCCTGTGATGATAAATGTAATGTTTAAATATAAATAAATTAAAATTAAGGGCCTGTTTGATCCCTCTCATATAATTATCTACCCGAATCTGGTAGATAGTGGCTATAGATAGTATGCGACACGGACCATTTGTAAATTAACTCGTCGAGTACCGGTTTTATAGACACAATTAAAGAACAATAGGTCGCGGTCGCCGGTGACCGCTTGGTGTTTGACAGTTTAATAAATTCTGTACTAGTATGTCAGCTAAAAATAACATAATTATAAAAATAGGATAGAGCAATAGGAACATTCAGAAGAATAGTCTGGGAACAATTAGAAAAAGTGTAGGTAATCTGTTGTCAAGATTTCATCATCTTAGATTTTAGATTGCACAACGATTTGCGATGGTTACGCCTGTTTATGTTTAATTTGGTAGTTAAATGCTCTATCAATTTTATACACATAAATACATCATAGTCTGTCGTTCTATTATTGATCGCCTATTTTGGTATCAAATGCATCTATAATATACACATAATAGTTATTGCTATTTGTTTGTCCACAGAGAATGTTGTTCGGTGTCCTGAACTTTCTAGTTAAAATTAGTAACTCTACTTGATACTAGATGGCGCCACAGTTGTACAGAATTTGCTCATAGTGACATCTATTGACCAATAGAGTCAAGTCAATCCTTATTGTTTATAAAATGTTTTGTATTATAAAATGAAATTTTAACTAAATTAGATACCAAAAAACATAAGTAATTAATGAAATTTAGAGAAAACAGCGAAATCATTCGTGTGCCAGTCAAATTACTCATGGAATCAAACCATCTAAAAAAGTATCTTAGTAGTTCACCTACTAACCGGTAGATGTCACTACAAGACGTAACTGAGAAGTTACTCGAATTTTCTATTCAGTTCGTGATTGTTCATGCGGCTTCTCGCGAACAGATTGCGCTGTAAGCAAGCGTATATAAAGTCGGTAGCGCGGGAACTCTGCAGTATTCAAAGTTTGACAGCGACAGAAACAGTATCAACACAAACGAAATAAACAAAACGATTAAAATGTCACTCGCTCCGTATTGGTTTCGTCATCTGAGGAATCTGGCGACTCGAGATCCAATCGCCAGGGCTTTCGAGGATCCTTTCTCCGTGTTTATGAGGGACCCGTTCTTCAGAGATCCAGTGAAATTCATCAAGGCAGCTACTGCACCTATCGATCATGTTGAGGGCGTCTACTCTGACCACGAGCTGAAGATTGACGGGAAAAAGGTGGAAGTGCACCTGGATGTTCAGAATTTCACTCCGGACCAGATTCAGGTGAAGACTGTGGGGAACGAGATTATGGTGGAAGGCAAGAAGGAGATTAAGAAGGAAGATGGTTGGACAAGGAGTCATTTTGAAAGGAGGTTTTTGTTGCCTGATGGATTCCCCCCGGAGCGTGTAGAATGTCATCTTGACAAGGGAAAGTTGAAGCTGATAGCGTTTAGGGCAGAGCCGTTGGAGGAGCGATCCATCCCCATCCAGGACAAGTCTAGTGGCAGCAGTGAGAATAAATCGTAGATATCTAGGCAGTTGAATTAAAATATTCTTTAAACTTTTTTAGTTAAATCTTTCATAGACTGATTAGTTTAGTTGTACAAACGGTACCAATCTGTTTCGATACTGTGATTTACTTTTTTAAATTGATTTAAATGAAATAAATACTTAAATCTACATTGTTGTTTTATTTCTAATTTACGTAAGATATCTTTACACCTCTTTGTAATCCCCGAACGGGTAAGCAGAGTGACAGGTGCACAGTTAGAATAACTCTTTTTATTTTTCGAAGGATTTGTTATGTGCGCAATTGTTTACATTTACAATCAGGAAAAAAACATGATGACAAGAAGAAAAATATTATGAAACTATGGAAATAGGCTCATCGGTATTAGACATAGATAAAATTAAGGTATGTATTTCTGTGGTATTCAATATCATCTCTGAAATCTCTCATTGTCAAAGATTTTTTCCGTGTCGGGATCGAACTCTTCGTTAAGCAGTAGCCGTGGGTTGTTGTAGAGTACCTTCTGAGTAACCTATGGAGTTTCTTGCTCGTTCTTCTCCATGGGAATATGCACCTTGGACTGAGCAAATAGCTTCACTTTTAATTTTTTACTAACGTTCAAAAGTGCCTTTCTGGTCTAATTGAAATAAATGATTTTGACTTTGACCTTCTGTGCCAATCGTAAATTAAGTCAGCCAGAAAATAAGTAGGTAATCAAACTGCATAATTTCGTTGTTGTCTGACCTTGCGTAGCACGAACATTGCAATTTAATGACATAGGTATTGTTCATGTCTGACCTATGTCACCTACCGACTATGGTTACATCTTCGGCACACGCACAGATATATTAAAGAAGCACCATTTTCTGACGATATATGAAAATGAATGATAATTGTTTGAATGTATGTACTTGTATGAAAGTTATAATACAAATATTGTTTGATTTATTCTAATTCAAATCTTTCAGACAATAGGTACTATTATTTCTGGTGGTTCTGACTGGTAGTTTGTTAGACCGTAGAGAATGCCAAAGGTTATTAATCTACACAGTGCCTTTAGCCAAACGCCACTTTAGCGCTTGTCTACAGAGAGAGTAGAAAACTAAATGTATGGGGATGACACTGACAAATGTCAAAATTTACGTCAATCCTATATAATTTGGTTTTCTATTCTACATGTAGACAAGCGCTAAATGGCATTTGGCTACAGCTGCAGGATAGATATGAACTTTTAATGAAATAAATTATTATGTACTCTTCTTTCCTTGATAAGAGGTCGCAATTTGCATGACGACAACAGCGGCGAGGATAACGCATGCATGTCGAATTTAGGCACAAAAGCGATGTTGTTCTTTACAACCTAACCCTTTAAATCAGAACGCAGACATGCGGCGCGCGCCGGTCATAAGTACCCACGTCATAGGCCGGGCAATGCCCTGGCAAGTCAATAATGACACTAATTGTGCATGTGCCTACACTGCAGTGTGTAGTTCCAAGTGCATAAGTAAAAATAGCCTTAGTGATTGATGCTATAGAATTAGATTTGAAACTGATAACGTTTTTGCCATCACTTGGTTTTTATCAGAGGAATATTATGTCTGCAAGACATACCGTACATAATATGTATAGGATCATATCAACATAATGTTTAAAAACTAGTGTGATTGTAGATACAGACTTCAGACGCCGGCAGTAACAAGTCTCGCGTTTGACACGCCGGTCGTGCACGCTGCGCCTCACCCATTTACACTCGTGGTATAATTATTATTAACTCTATCGTTTATTTATATACACTACCTCGTTTGCATTCGTGTCTAACCAGCGTAAACACGGTTAAACACCAACTCTAACTGTGTAGTCATAATTATAATAATTAAACTTTAAATTAAATAAAAAATCTAATAAATATCTACAAGTGACCTTGTGTGTGCAACGTGTTGATTGAATTAGGTAATCTGTGTACAATTGATATTGTTTGCGGTTGTTTGTAAACAATGGCTGCCTCAACGGCAAAGTATGCTCTGGCTGCTGGCACAGCTGAAGGTTAGTACCTATGAATGAGATGATTCTAGTTATCTATTTAACATAACATCACGCCTTTTATCCCCGAAGGGGTAGGCAGAGGAGGACATTATACCACTGTACAATGTAACGCCCACTTTTCACTATTTATGTTATGAGTCACATGTAATAGGGGGTGAGCCTATTGCCATATAATGGGGATGATGACAGGGTATGAAAATTAAAAATATAATTAGTCCGTAAGTTAGGTAATGAAAAAATATTAGACACGTATTTTTTTATTTTGTCGTATAATAAAACAATACTTAGATAAAACGAATCAAAGTTTAGGAGTGGGGGCTAAAACGTCATTCCTTAGTATAAAATGTACTGAGAAGTGACGTCACGCGACATTTCAAATCAATATATCTTCGAAACTATTCGTTTCTGTGAGAAAATAAAAAATACGTGTCTAATGTTTTTAAATAATCTATCAGACGGACATTAAAATAAAATAGTCGTCTACCCTATTACACATTTCCAGACTCCGTGCTACTACTGAGAATTTTTAATAAAATCCAGTAATATGTACTTTGCCCGACTCGGGAATCGAACCCGAGAGCCCCTTGCCCGGCAGTCGGACTTGAGACCACTCGGCCAACGAGGCAGTCGTTATCTATTTATGTACATATATAGTCTACAACTGTGCCTTCCTCAACGATTTCGTTGTTCATCATCACCATTATCAACAACCTATAAATGCCCACTGCTGAGCAAAGCCTCTTCTAAATAGAAAACCAAATTATATGGAATTGACGTAAATTTTCACATTTGTCAGTGTCACATACATTTTGATTTCTACTCTCTCTGTAGACAAGCGCCAAATGGCATTCGGCTATAGCTGCTGGTAAAAAAGGAAAGATTATTTTGATTGACAAACAATATTTCTTATGTTTTAAGAGCAGTCTCATATTATGACGTGTTGTAGACAACAACATCAAGGCAAACTAGAATCATACATTCACATGTACATCTGTCCATTGTCCATCATTTTCACAATAGAATCGAAGTACTTTTCTCAGCATTTTGATTAGTACCTACCTAATTTTAACTATACTAACGCATTAATAGCCCGTATACTAAGTCCGCTTTTGGACGATGATTCTCCATTACATAAGAGTGTTTGTCATAGTCTTCACAGGCAGTTTAGATATCAGTTTAAACGGTTCTTTTTATATTTAATGGGCCGACATTTGACCAGAAGTCTGCACTAAATTGACATAGACCATGCGGTCTGCGTTCTCTGACAAAAAGTAAAGTAAATCTGTTCCTATTATTAAATATATTCTACATCCATTACAACAAATTTTACTCACGCAATAAGAAAGAATAATGCCGGAATACTGAAACGTTACTCAATTTAAGTCGTGCTTAAATATCGTGCCATCTCTGTCATTTTACAAAGAATTTGTGGAGACAGAACTATAGTTAAGCGCGACTTAAAATTGAGTAGCGTTTGGGTATTCCGACATAAGACTACAATAAATAATTACCAGCTCTAATGTCACAGTTCCAGCTATGGACCGGCTCGTTCACCTAGGAACAGTGTCTATTGACCAGCGAGGGTCTGGCTTCAAAGGCAACAAGTACACAGTGCACAGCGACGGTGAGCTCTTATTCAACCTGAAGGAAGATGGCCATGCGTTCACTTTCCTCAACCATGGGAAGACGAGAGGGTTCCACATGGATGGCGTCGATAATAATGGCAAACATGTGAGTATGTTAAGTATCTAAGTCGGTATTTATCTATCGGGACAAACCAGCAATATAACATTTCCCAACTCCTGTAACCGTTAGTATTTAATGTAGGGAGCTAGGGATCAATTCAGTGCATATCGAAAGATATTGGATTCTGCAACGAAATTATTTAGTTAGAAGATCAATATTTGAAGTGGAAAATAATCGTAGAGAACCACTAGGAAAGACCGTAGACCACACTGCTTGTCGCGGAGAACCTAACGGGTAACCGGGGCTCCGGCTCGACGTACAGGAGAAGGAACGGGGTGGTTTTTAGTCAGTAAGAGTCTGACACTCCCTTCCGCCTCACCCAGGCGGGAGCAGTCATTCAATGGTTTTCCCCCCTTAAAGAAAAAGACCACACTGCTTATGTCATCCGCCATCATCGTCCTCGCGGGCCACACGGTCTGATAAAGGGTTGTCCAGTCTTGCATTATGGTGCCTCGCGAAACCTCGACATCATTAAATTTTATTTGTACTGGCTTGGAGATTACTTACCGACTATTACTAGAGAAGAAGAAAAAAAAGAAGAATAACCACGAGGAGTAGGAATCTACTTTTCTTCACAATAGCTTCAGTAAACATCGACAGACATATCTTTTAAATTGTTTGACGTTCAAAAGTTCTAGCTGAAATTAATGATTATGGCTGGAGTTGTGTATGCTACAAAATTATTCGCGTAAGGCAAATTAATTAAGCCAAACACACGAGCCAATTCCAGACAAACACTAGACGTCATCAGATATCTGTGATGTCTGGCTCAATTAAAATGAATGAACAATACATAGAGGTATGTAGGTATATGGGTAATGTATCTCTCTTATAGGAGTAGCCGGTATTTCATGTTATGTGTTGTGCTCTCTGCCTCGTTGGCCGATTGGTCGCAAGTGCGACTGCCGGGCAAAGGGTCTCGGGTTCGATTCCCGGGTCGGGCAAAGTATTACTTACTGAGTTTTTACAAAATTCTCAGTAGTATCACGGAGTCTGGAATTGTGCCCGGTATATGGCAATATGCTCACCCCCTATTAAATTACATGGGACTCATAACATAAATAGTGAAAAGTGGGTGTTACATTGTAGTGGCATAATGTGCACCTCTGCCTACCCCTTCGGCGATAAAAGGCGTGATGTTATGTTATGTGTTGTGCAAAATTTCATTCAGATTTAGATCCATCCAATAAGATAAGTGATTCTGCGTGAAAGAGTAACATACGTATACAATACAATACATCCTACAGCGCGTATAACATAATTCCTAAGAAGTAATAATCAATTTTATCATCGTAACTAGATTAGATTATCATCAATGATTAAAAAATGATGCCTTAAATATTCTTTATTGATTTTACATTATGTTCTCTGTGGTGAATACTGAAAATACCGACGCAGTTAATACCTATATTTTTCATTTCCTAAAGTACCCTAAAGGTTAGACGCCCACGTGTCAAGTTGGAAAGCTTGATAACTCAATAGCTGATAGACACATAGGTCTACGGCGTACCTTCCAGGCAAGTAATCGAAGCGTTCTAAATAATTATGTCCCTAGCTGAACTGAAGTGTTGACAATGTGATGTTGTGGCCAGCTTATAGCTTGCTGTAAGATGACGTCACCGTCAGACGAGTTAATTGATTCTCACTTGCAGTGTAGGAGTATGTGTAGAACTGGATTGTTTTGTAATGGTATACTTGTTTGGTGCCTAAACGATTGTAATGGCCTTTTAAAGTTTGTGTGCACAGCGGTCATTAGCTATGTAACATGTTACAGAACAAACTGTCCTTTATGAAGCGGCCATTAAGAAGCCATGGTCCTTTTCCTCTTAGTAATTTTCTAAAATACGTGGTACAGACGACTACACATCGAGCTTTACATAACCAGAATAAACTGAACGTTAAATGTGCGGAAAGATGATGCGACGCAACACCAGGATAAACTGGTTTTGTATAGATTGATGTGTGGCCGTGTGTACTAGTAACGTGTCACATATCTTGCGTAGAGGATATTTTTTAAGGGGGGAATGTCATCGAATTACTTCTCCCGCCTTAGTGTCAGACTTTTAGGTACCTACTGACTAAAAACCACCCCGATCCTACTCCTGCATTTCGAGCCGGAGCCCCGGTAACCCGTTAAGTTCTCCGTGGCTCTGTATCGGCATCAGCTCTATTGGGCCCCATTCGTGGTGGTCTAATGGCTCTTTGAGGCGCGCGCATGTCCTTTGCGACGGCTGGGTTGCGCTCACGCCCATGCGTAGAGGGTAGAGAGAGAAGACCCACTTCGCACAGAAGGCTGAATTTTTGTTATGTGTTACTACATCTGCCCGCGGTTTCCCCTGCGTTTCCGTGGGATAAAAAGTATCCTCTTTGTTATTCCAGACCACAATCAATCCTTGTTCCATATTTCATCACAATCCCTTTACTTATTTTGACGTAATTGAGTAACAAACACACACACAAACTTTCGCATTTTTAATATATATACATAAGTAAAATTATTTTATGGGATATGGGAACAAAATATATGAGTAAACCCGATGACTTGATGGTAAGCAATTCATGGACACCCGCGCCACCAGAAGAGTTATATTGCTTTGCCGAAACATAAATGGGTCTTTCAATTTGATGTAAACCAAATGAATCCAATATTGATTGATTACTAGTTTCAAACATTATTACACATCTGCCTCCAGATCTTCGTTCTCCGTCGGCCAGGGGTGCTTATGTCGGATAAGGTGGAGCTGCACATGGGAGGGAAGGTGGTCAGCATCGTGCGCAAGGAACCCACTCTCATGACTCCAGTCTTCAACATCAACAACGCACATGACGTCCCAACACTACGGCTCAAGGGAGAAATCACTGATTACGACTTTCAGGTGATTTTCAGTACATTGTTATTATCTTATTCTATAAGAGGGCATGTCTCGTCTAACTGATACATTACTGTAGCTTCGCACGGGGTCCGTGGCATAAAAAATAACCAACCATACCAAACGTGTTATTCCCTAACCTTATCTAACCCTCCTGTTACAAATCTCATCCCAATACATAACATACATACATATAACATACATACCATACATACAGACAAACTCTCAACTCACAAACGTTCGCATTTTTACAATATTATAATATCAAAGACTGCCTCGTTGGCCGAGTAGTCGCAAGTGCGACTGCCGGTCAAGGGGTTCGATTCCCTGGTCGGGCAAAATATTACTGGGTTTTTAAAAAAAGCTCAGTCGTAGCACGGAAGCTGGAAATGTTCCCGGTATATAGCAATAGGCTCACCCCCTATTACATGGGACTCATAACATAAATAGTGAAAAGTGGGTGTTACTTCTGTGTGCACGTCTGCCTACCCCTTCGGGGATAAAAGGCGTGATGTTATGTTATAAGATCAAATAAGATGCACAATAAAATCCTTGTTTACGCGAAGATAAACCAGTTTTAAGAAATAATCAATCCTGTTATTATATTACTTGTTTTAGCTATTATGTGACCTTGTGTTTTAAAAACAAGATAACCCTGCAATGTCAGTGGAATGACCAAAAAATGCAAGAGATTTTGCATTAGCGTAGTTTGGAACTCTGCCCGGCATTCCAGGCAATACATTTTATCGAATGCCTAGATTTAAATAGAGTCAGAAGTCTGGAATCCGTCTTGAGCAAGTGTGGTGATTACTGGTGATTAATGCTCATTCTTTCTACGTGTGGGATGAGGTCTTTGCCTAACAGAGTGACGGTTACTGACTGATTTATTGATTTTGCTGTAAATTATTGAACAAGTAATACATATATAATCTGGAAAAATAGCTATGCATGCCTTGAAAACATTGAAATGCTGAGTCATGTTCTTATTAATATATTCTAGTTTCATGTTTTTTTTTTATTAAAAGATCCTAATTTTATTTAGGACATTTTTAGTAGTGGTACTTTGATCGAAGAAGGTGTTATCTTCAAATAACTCCTGAGAAAAATAACTTAATATCACTCCGTTTATCCCTGATGGGGTAGATAGAGGTGCAGATTACGGCACTTAATGCCACTGAGAAAATGTTTCGTTAGTGAAAACTTTTTCTTTTTAAGTGTGGGAGAGCCATGCTTCAGCACGAATGGGCCGGCTCGACCGGAGTGATACCACGGCCTCACAGAAAACCGACGTGTAGCAACGCTTGCGTTGTGTTTCGTCGTGTGAGTGAGGTTACCGGAGGCCCAATTACCTTCCCCTTCCCCAATCTCCCCAATCCCTGAATCCCCAACGATCCTCAAACTCCTAATCCCCAAAAAGCCGGTGACGCACTTGTAACGCCTCTGGTGTTCCAGGTGTCCATGGGCGACGCCGATTGCTTACCATCAGGTGATCAGTCTGCTCGTTTACCGGCTTATGCCATAAAAAAAAACTGATCCTTTGGGTTCCTTTTCTACGATTATTATTAATTATCCCTCATCACACGTATTTAAGACTGAAGAATCTCAAACTACAGTTGCAGACGATGAACAAGACGAACATCGGGAGCATCAACAAGAAGTTCCGCGGCATGCTGGAGGAGATGTTCAGCTACAATGACAACTACGTCATCAAGTTTCCTACAGACCTGGATGTGCGGTTCAAACTCGCTGTTATAGCAGCTTGCGTCTTAATTGTAAGTTGTCTTTAATTTATAGAGATAGTAATAATTGAATCTTAGTAGTAGGAGGGGTGGTTTTTAGTCAGTAAGAGTCTGACACTCCGAGAGATATATTGATTTGAAATATCGCATGACGTCACTTTTGAGTACCTTCGATTTATACTCTAAAATGACGTAGTTACCTCCCACTCCTAAACTTTGATTCGTTTTATCTAAGTATTGTTTTTTTATACGACAAAATAAAAAAAATACGTGTCTAATATTTTTTCATTAGCTAACTGACGGACTATTAAGATTTTTAATTTTCATACCCTGTCATCATTCCTGTTTTTACCGACTTCAAAAAAAACAGGAGGTACTATGTTCGGCTGATCGTTTTTTTTTATTATTTAGTACTTCGCCATTTGTGAACCGATTTCGAAAATTCTTGTTTTGTTTGAAAGGGTATACTCCCGAGATTGTCCCATTTCCATGAGGTTAGGATCTGATGATGGGATCCTAGGGAAACCGAGGGAAACTTCCGAAAATTCTATGGGCGAGTAATGCGTCTATTATGTTTTTCAATTGGGATTTTATTTATGTTTACAGGATTACCGGTACCACGAGCGTTAGCGAAGACGACAACCATAACTATTTGGTTCAGTGTTTCTTTGAATGTAAGTTACTTGTAAGTATAATTGTTTTGTAATTTCTACTTATTATTAATTATTTTTATAATAAATACTACGTATAATAAGTTTCAGTCATCATAGTAATGTGCAAGTTTAATGTATGTACGTGTACTTGATATATCGTACCAAAAATCCTTAAAATTTGTTCATACAAATGTAGTCTCTAAACATCGGAAATAAAGTCTATAATGGAGTGTATAGAGAGTCCCGCTTAGGGATTAGTCAGACGTAGTTAGAATTTCTATAAAAGTGCTATGTTTTTGTCACAAAACATTATTTACGCTTCGAGTTTCTGCGTATAATTATTCACCTATGTTCTTTATGATTGCGTGCTTAAATTACAATCAGTACTTCAGATTTAAATGCTGCTTATGTCACGTTGAAATTATGCTATTTATAGCTACTTACTCATAGTCTAGCTAGGGTAATAAAACCTAATGAAGCCTAGAATAACGAAGTGAAAAACTAGTAATTACGTCGGGCCTCGAGGGTTGGTGTTTACGTGCCTCAACTATTAAGGTTTTAGGGGCACTGCTAACTATCAATATAGGTAGGTGTATTACAAATTGTGTCTTATGCCGAAATACTCAAACGCCACTCTACTAGGGTAGATGCCTAATTTTTATTTTAATGTCCGTCTGGTATTTTAAATCATAAGATAGGTACGTATACTTTCGACGATGTATTGATTTGAAATGTCGCGTGACGTGACTTCTATGTACATTTTATACGTAGAAATGACGTTTTAGCCCCCAATCCTAAACTTTGATTCCTTTTATCTAAGTATTGTTTTGTTATGCGGCAAAATAAAAAATACGTGTCTAATATTTTTTAACTACCTAACAGACGGACTAATTACATTTTTAATTTTCGTCATTCCTATTCTAAGTCGCGCTTAAGTATCTGCTATCACTACAAATTCTTTGTAAAATGACAGAGATGGCACAATCTTTAAGAAGATACAACTTAAAATTGAGTGCCCTTTCAGTTTTTGGGTGTTATGTATGTACCTAATACTTATTATTTAACCTACCTAAATATCAGATCATGGGTCCATGTACTAATCCGTACTGGTACCTACTTGATATTATTTTCATACGAATGTTCCGAGTAGCTATAACGATTATCATATATACTTCTGTGACAATTGTAATAGTAATAATTAGACGCAAATTCTAGGAGTGACACAAACACAATATAACAGTTATATGTACCTAGATATAATAATTATAGTACGATTTCTGTATGTCTGAGATGAGCGATATTGGACTGGTACAAGCATTATTTCTTGTAATCATCAGAACCGTACCTAATAAGCAAGGGATTTCCCTAGATTACCTACATAGGTAAATAGTAGATATAGATACGGAGGCACTTAACTAGTAAGGCAAAATAATGTCATTATCAAATATCTACTTATAAGTACTTATCGTATTGTTTAACTACTTAATTCTTATCATTGCATTTATCTGCTAACAAACAAATTTATGCATTGCAAATGGACTGACAAGTAATCATTCACATCATAGTATGACGTTTTTTTATATTAGATGGGACTGACGTTTGACCACTATCTCGCCTGGTGGTAAAAATGATGCTCTGAAAAAGTTTTCAGAAATCAGAAATCAGAAATAATTTATTTGCCAAAAATGTAGGTAACAAATATGTTGTTATATAGCTTATGGAGAATCCCAGTACATTTTGCCTTACGGCATGCAAAATTATTGAATTAGTTAAATACAATTTTTAAATTTAAACAAAACAAAATTAATTAATAACAATCAAATCATTCATAATTAGGTACAACACAAATTATACAAAATACTTATAATAGAACATCATAAATGTAGGTTTACAGATTTTTCGTGCGTTTTATTACTTACTAGCTTTTACCCGCGGCTTCGCTCGCGTCACAAAAGAATAAAACGTAGCCTATGTGACATATACCAATACACACAGCGCCATCTATACCAATACTTTTGTTTTTCCTCGGGAATATCAATTTTTTCCGGGTTAAAAAGTACCCTATTATTTAATCCGGACTTCTACCTTTACGTCTGCAAAAATTCAAAGCAATCGGTTGAGTAGTTACGGCGTGAAGGTGGAACAAACAAACAAACAAACAAATAATATAAGTAAGGATTGTGTGTTCTTATTAAGAACTCACTTTCAGATTTATAATATTAGTAAGGATTGCTTGTTTTGAAATAATTAGGTACTTTATAATAACTATCATGAGACATACTAAATTAAGTAAAAACGCGGGTTACTCACGTGAATATACTGAGAATCGCCGCGACCGCGCACGCTGCTCATGAGGAAGAACCCCTCTGTGCTTCGAAACTAGTAGAGCTTTTCTCAGTATATTCACGTGAGTAACCCACATTTTTACTTAAATTAGGTACTTATATGTAAGGAAAGGATGCCTCTCTGTATCTAGTTTATTCTTTAGGTAGGTATCGTATTATTTATACTTAGTTATACATATTTGTGCCTTCTAAATTATTAAGTAAGTATGATTATTAGTATGCTGTAGCATTATTATCGTACTTAGATCAATTCAGATACTTTATAGGAAAGGATATGAAAGAAGTCTAGTCTGATTTTAGAATACAAAATCATATTTTTTTCGTTTATTTAACTTTTGTGTTGCATCTTTGTGTAAATGTCAATGTTCTTAATATTCTTCTGAAGGCTGCAGTAAATGTAAAATGTATACATTCCAGATATGTTTACAATAAATTATACAATTAGAGAAAGATTTTTCACACACAGGTTTGCAATGTTTTGAACAGCGCTATCTAGTTTCTGGACACGTCAAACAACTCGCCCATTTGATTGTACACTAGTGAGTAGAGTCGTACCTTTTTAGTTCTTACTTTTGTAACTAGATGTCGTTTTAAGCGGGACTTCCATCTTTACTAAACTATAAGTTAATTTTAAGATTTATTTACTTTATAAGATGATATTCTAAAGTTTTTAAATAAAAATATATACTAAACATTTAATTTGTTTTCCTTACCGTTGATTTATTAGGAAACCTTATAAAACCTCAATTTACCTACTTTAATAACGTAACAGTCAGTTAAAGAAAAAAATTGTTTTTGCTGTGTGCCGTGGATTCATATCCACAGTGGAACGTTGTTTTTTTTGTAAAGTACCTATTCTATAATGTTTAGTTATTTATTGGAAGTCTTACAGATGGCATAATATGATTTGGCTCCTGCATGGCATTTTACATGTTAAGCAATATTTTAATTAGGTAATAATTAACTCTGGCAGAATCTAGATAAATAACAGTTTGCAAATTACACTTCAGCGGCATCTGACTGAATATTCCACAAGAAAGCAGTTTCTTTAGCATAAAAAAGTAAATTACTGTGAAACCATCGTTACCGGTAACTATCATTTTAATTGTTCTTAAAGATAATATGCTAAATGTTATGTGGGTTACGATCAAAGTTGTTCATAGCTGGGAGCAGAGCCGTATTATCCCCAAGGCAAAGTAATCTAATGCCTAGGGCGCCAGGTTGAAGAGGGGCGCCGCCCGTACGGCGGCGTAGTGGTACCTTTTTTATGGTATAAGCCAGTAAACGAGCCTACGGATCACCTGATGGTAAGCAGGAAGGAAGGAGGGGGGGTATTGTTCCTCCGGTAACGTCACCATACAACGTACATCACACCATACATCATACAACGAAACACAACGCAAGCGTTGTTTCACATCGGGTTTCTGTGAGGCCGTGGTATCACTCCGGTCGAGCCGGACCATTCGTGCTGAAGTATGGCTCACCCCCACTTGCCTAGCCTGCCTATGATATGCTTCCTTAGGGCGCTCGCTAGATTTAATCCGCCCCTGGCTGGGAACCTTGTGTAGTGTGTAGTACTTGTTCTTAACACCTGCCACGTGTAGTTTAAGTAATCAGGTAATCTGGAAGTTCGTTGTCAGTTTTCATAATGGTCTGTGTTCTGAGCTGGTTACTTCAACATTTTGTCAGTTTACTATATTAGCAACCGCTGGTGCTCTTTTTTGAAGGTTTCTAAAATATTTTGAAAAGTATAGGCAATAAATCGTTAATTGAAAAGCATAGGTAAATAATCGATTTTCCATTTTTTTTTATTTGATGGACCGACGCTTGGCAACTACCGACCAGACCAGACCGACGTCTGGTGGTAAGCGATGTTGCGGCCTACGATGTGGCACTTCTGCTCATAAGCAACCTATGCACTCGTGCCTTGGTGACACCCAGGTACCCTTCAGAAAACACATCCTCTGGCAAAGAATTCCACTCCTTAGCAATACGCACCAGGAAGCTAAATTCCATATCCAAATGGGCCTAAAAAAATTTTAAACGTGAATGTAAAATTTTAATCACAGAATTCACGATGACACGATCTCAAGAGCTTTTGTCGCGAAGATCAACAATACCTAGGTAAGTACTACCTATTTATACTAGTTTATTTCTCTACGTGGGAACACATTTATTTAACCTGAACATTAAGGTGTCAATAGAACACGGGCCCACCTTGTCCGCGCTGTCCGGTCCTCAATGAATTAATGCTAGCGCTACCTTCGTTTAATCAACGGCGAAGCCTTTCAGGAGCGATGAGATTGCTTCCCCTGCCTCATCTGCTCGCCAGCTAATCATAAGATGGCAGAGATATGAAATTGTGCTTCTAAAATTACTTTTATGCAATCCTGGAGTACTTCGGTTAAAGAAAGTTCTTATCCTACGGGTGCCGTGTACGGTATCAAAAGCCTAGCCTGAACCTCCTTTGAGAATATTTCATAAGGTATTTTTTTGGAAATTTCTTTAAAGGACCGCATTTTTACTTAGATTAACGACATTTTTTGCATGATATAGTTTGTTGATTTATGTGTAAAATTGAATAAGCGGTTTTTTATCGTACGTTATAGATTACAATACATTAGTTAGGTAA